AGGCGAAGGCGCTGCGGCAGTACGAGCGGGAGCGGAAGCCGCTGGAGGAGCTGGCGGCCGAGGACCGCTTCATGCTGCAGTTCAGCAAGGTGGAGCGCCTGCCCCAGCGCATGGCCATCATGGCCTTCCTCGGCAACTTCGCTGAAAACCTCCAGATGCTGACGCCGGTACGGAGCCGGGGAGGGGAGGAATTGCATCCACTGGGGTTGTCCGGACCTTGCACCGCAGCTGAGAGCCCCCCTCCTCTCTCCTGTCCCTCTGCAGCAGCTCAATGCCATCATCGCGGCCTCGGCCTCCGTCAAGTCGTCGCAGAAGCTGAAGCACATGTTGGAGGTGAGCGTGGGGGGGGACGCGGGGACCAGCTGGGTCAGCATCCTGCCCTCCCCCCTTGCTGTAGCTGGGTGTGGGGGGCTCCCGTGGGGGTCCCACTCCTCCCTGACCCACCCCCCCATCCCCGGTGCTTTTCCCCTTGCAGATCATCTTGGCGCTGGGCAACTACATGAACAGCAGCAAACGCGGCGCCGTCTACGGCTTCAAATTGCAGAGCCTGGATCTGGTGGGAACCACCCCCCCCACACACACACTGCACCAGACCCCCTGCCCATGTCCCTGCGACCGCGTGGGCCTCCCAGGGAGGGGGGGGTGTTCCATCCCACAGCCCTGACCCACCCTCTCCCCTCAAATCACCTCGCAGCTCCTGGACACGAAGTCGACGGACAGGAAGATGACGCTGCTGCATTTCATCGCGCTGACGGTGCGGGAGAAATACCCTGAGCTGGCAACCTTCTGGCAGGAGCTGCACTTTGTGGAGAAAGCGGCTGCAGGTGCCCCCCCTCCCCGTCCCCACGCCCCCGCCTCGCCGTCCCCCGGGGCCGTGGGTCCCTTGACGTGTCCGTGTGTCCCCACAGTGTCCCTGGAGAACGTGCTGCTGGACGTGAAGGAGCTGGGCCGGGGGATGGAGCTGCTGCGGCGCGAGTGCGGGCTGCACGAGAACAGCGTCCTGCGCGCCTTCCTGGCTGCCAGCGAGGGCAAGCTGGAGCGGCTGCAGAAGGACGCACGGACGGCTGAGGTGAGGGCTGCGCCTCGCACGGCCTCGCACGCTCCTCGTGCACATCCTGCTTCGCACAGCCCGCGTGCCCGCCTTGCTTCCCACGGCCCTCACGCATGGCAGTCTTTGCACGCCCCTCGTGCCCACTTTGCTTTGCACGCTCCTCGTGCTCGCCTGCCCTCTCATGCACACCCCTCACACACAGCAGTCTTTGCACGCCCCTCGTGCCGGGCGGGGGGGCTGTGGGCTGTGCAGTGACCACCCTGTCCCCTGCTCCAGGACGCCTACAACACCGTGGTGCGGTATTTCGGTGAGAGCCCCAAGACGACCCCCCCATCCGTTTTCTTCCCCGTCTTCGTCCGGTTCATCCGCTCCTACAAGGTGAGGAGGGGCCGGGAGGGGACATGGCAGGGGCAGAGGGCGGGGGGGGGGGGGTGTGACACCCACAACCCCCCCTTCCTCGCCCCGGCAGGACGCGGAGCAGGAGAATGAGACGCGGAAGAAGCAGGAGGAGGTGATGCGGGAGAAACTGCTGGCGCAGGAGGCGAAGAAGCAGGAGAAGGTGAGTGGGGACACACACACACACGGGTGGGCTTGAAGAGGGGGGGGACGACACACACACGACACACACGCAGCCGGAGGGGACACCCTGGGACCCCTGTGCCCCCCCCCGGCAGCGGAACAAGTGGCAGCAGCAGGAGCTGATCGCGGAGCTGCGGCGGCGCCAGGCCAAGGACCATCGGCCCGTTTACGAGGGCAAGGACGGCACCATCGAGGACATCATCACCGGTACGGCCCCCCCAAACCTTCCCCCCCGCCTCGGCCCGGACACCCGCGGCCCCGCCGTGTGCGGGGGCTGATGTGTCCCTGGCCCTGTCCCATGTGTCGTGTCCCCCCCCCGCCCGTGCCCCCCACCCTGCAGCGCTGAAGAGCGTCCCCTTCACGGCCCGCACTGCCAAGCGGGGCTCGCGCTTCTTCTGCGACCCGTCCCACCACGACGAGTCCAGCTGTTAGCCCCCAGGTACCGCCTGCATGCCCGGATCCCCCCCTGGATCCCCCCCCCGGATCCTCCCCCACCAGCCCTGCATGGCCCCTCCTGCACGCCCCCTCCCTGCATGCCGTCACCCCCAGACCCTGGGGTGGGAGCCTGCAGGAAGGTTGGATCCCCGCACAGGATCCCAGTGGAATATTGGGATTCCAGCACAAGATCCCGGTGCGAGGCTGGGTCCCGGCACAGGATCCCAGCACAGGAGCCTGGTACAAGGCTGGGTCCCAACACAGGATCCCAGTGCAAGGCTGGATCCCAGCACAGGATCCCAGTGCAAATCTGGGTCCTGGCACAAGATTTTAGCACAGGATCCTGGTGCAAGGCTGGATCCCAGCACAGGATCCTGGTGCAAAGCTGGGTCCTGGCACAAGATTTTGGCACAGGATGCTGGTGTAAGGCTGGATCCCAGCACAGGATACTGATGCGAGGCTGGATCCCAGCACAGGATCCCAGCACAGGATCCTGGTGCAAGGCTGGATCCTGGCACAGGATTCCGGCACAGGATCTTGGTGAGAGGCTGGATCCTGGCACAGGATCCCGGCACAGGATCCTGGTGTGAGGCTGAGTTTCCGATGGGGTCTTTGATGCAGTGCAGGTTCCCAGCACAGGGTCCCAGTGCAGAACTGGATCCCAGCACAGATCCCACTGCAGGCTGAGTCCCAGCCCTGGATCCCCGTGCAAGGCTGGGTCCCAGGGAGGGTCCCGCTCCAGGGCTGGGGTTCCAGTCCCAGGTCTTTGCTGCAGTGTGGGATCCCAGTGCAATACTGGATCCCAGCGTGGGGTCCCAGTGCAATACCGGATCCCAGCACAGGGTCCCAGTTAAATACCGGATCTCAGCACAGGGCCCCAGTGCAATACTGGGTCCCAGCACAGGGTCCTGGTGCAATACTGGATCTCAGTGCAGGGTCCCACTGCATTACTGGGTCCCAGCGTGGGGTCCCAGTGCAATGCTGGGTCCCAGGGTGGGGTCTCAGTGCAATACTGGGTTCCAGTGTGGGGTCCCAGTGCAATACTGGACCCCAATACAGGGTCCCAGTGAAATACTGGGTCCCAGCCTGGTGCCTGGAGGCCTGGCCCCGAGGGGGTGACCCCAGGCCCGTCCCCAGGCCGGGGGTCCCTGACTCTGTCCCTCCCATCCCACAGCCCGCAGGTGGATCCGCCTGTAGCCGAGCGAGGGTAAGGACCCGGCCGGGGGGTTTGCGGGGGGGGGGGCGGGGGTTGGGTCAGGCTGCCTCAGTTTCCCCTTCTCACCCCGCTCTGCCCCACAGGTCCTGCCCCCGGCACCGCGCAGGGACGTCCCATGTCACCAACCTCACCCCGGCTCGCAGACGCTGTCCCCGTCCCCCTCCTCCCCAAAACCCCGGAGGGGTGGACGCGTGGCCCAGACCCGCCCCCCCCCCAAAATCTGCCTGCACCACAGGCCAAAACCTGCCTCTGGCTGGGGGTGGGGGCCCAGCGCCGGTGGCTGACCCATGGGGTGCCCCCTCCCCTTTGGGGTCCCCTCATCCCTTTTGGGGGGCGGGGGGGGTGTCACCACCTCGGAGACCCCATCCCGCCATGGGGGGCCCCTCCCCCTCCCGCGCTCGTCACTTTGACCACTGATGTGAACACTAATTGCCAAAAAAAGGGTAAAAAAAAAAAAAAAAAAAAGGGACCAAAGCCAGGCTGGGGTGGGTTGGAGGGGCAGGATGATGCCCCCCACCCCGGACCCCCCCCAGACCCACCCCCCCAGTGACTTTTTGTACATGTGAAATATATGGATTCTTTTACATGCCCAGTGCCTGATTTGGGGGGGTGGAGGGGGGTGCAGAGAGGACCCTGGGGTCTGAGGAATGCCCCCCCACCCTCATCTGGGGGGGTCCTGGGTCCCTGGGTTGGGGGGGTGGGGATGTAGACACAGGGATGAGACAGGGCTTTGCAGCTGTGTTATTAAAGCTGTGGGATTAAGGGGAGGGGGGGGCAGTTTTAAGAAGGGGGGGAGCCCCCCCCGCCATCATCAGCCCTGCTTCAGGGTGGGGCGGCCCCAGTTCACCCTAGTGCGGGGGGATTGGGAGCAGCTTAGGGCCGGCTGGAGGGGCAGGATGCGGCCCCCGGCTCAGCGCAGGTGCTCAGCCTCCCTCCCCAAGCCGCCAGCCCAGGGCTTAACCCCGAACCAAGGAATCAAAACTTTTCCCTAATCCTCTCCGGCGAGATTCCCAGCGCCGCCGCGCCCACGGCCGCATCCAGCCCAGGCCCAGGACCAGCCCCCAGCAGCTCCACTGGCCCTGTTGCCTTTTCATCCATCTGTCCGAGCCGGGGACACTGCAGCCCCCGCCGCCGTTCTGCTCCATCCCCAAATGCCATCGAAGATGCCGCAGGTGAAGACGCCGCTGTCCGTCTGTCTGTCAGTCGGGCTCAGGCCGGTCCCTACACCCCCTCGGTGGCTCCTTCGGCCTCGCGGGACGGGCGCCGCTCCCCCTGCGCCGCGGCTGCCGCCAGACCCTCCGCCTGCAGCAGCAGGTTGCAGCTGAGGAAGAAGAGGGCGAAGGCGACGGCAAGGCAGAGCACCAGGACAACTGCGATTTGGGTGGCCTCGGTCACCCACAGGGCCCCCTGGGCTCTGGCCTGGCTCAGCGTGGTGTTCATCTCCTCCTCCTCCTCCTCCTCCTGGGAGCAGAGTGCGGGCGTGCGGGGCGGCGGTGGCGACAGACGGGGAGGGTTTAAGTGATGTCAGGGACTGTCTCCACCGCCCACGGGGCTCCCCCACTCTGCTGAGGCGCTGGTGCCCAGTGGATGCCCACCGTGGGGTGGGGGGGAAGTGGTTTTTCCCCTCTCTTTGTGCTGTGCAAGGGTGCAAAGCCCCCTCCCCTGGGTGCGCTTCAGCCCCCATCCCATTGCCCCATCAGCAGCCAGGACGTGACCAAATTCCACGTGAAAGGAGAAATACTTTATTTTTGCCCCCAGGGAGGCAGCGAGCTCATCTCTGGGCCCCACAGGGAAGCGGCTCAGTCCCAGTAGGAGTTGGAGGGGGACAGGCAGTTACAAGGGTGGCACTGGAGAGTTGGAATGGCCGCAAGCCGGGCAGGATGGGGTTCGGATGGTGTGTGTGTGTGTCCCCCTCCTCAGCGCTGACACCCAGCACCGCTCTGCTAAGTGGCACATCCCGCCCCGAGGACTCACCGCCCAGCTGGTTCTCCAGGACGGGCAAGCGCCCCACGGCAACCAGGACCAGCAGCAACCCCCAATTAAGGGCCAGGTCACGTCTGGCTCCTCGCAGAGGCTTTTTGGAGGTGGAGAGGAGGGATCCAAGCAGCGACGCTGTCCCAAAGAGCCAGGGGCTGTGCCAAAGAGGTGCCACCACGCTGGGTGAAGCCACCTTGGTGGCACCCAGTCCTACAGAGCCAGCGTGTCCTTGATGAGCCGGCGCATGGTGGTGGTGACCGAGGTGCCCAGGGAGTCCGTGATCTGGTAGGAGATCTTGTAGAGGTAGGGCTGCACGTCCTTCAGGCTGGTGTCGAAGACGTTGTCCACCTCCGACTGGGTGGGCATCTTGGGCAGGTACTCGTGGCGGTTCATCACTTCCACGATGTTGATGATCTTCTCGCAGAGCTTCTCGCCCACCTTCTCGCGGCAGATCTGCCTCTCCTGCTCGTTAGCCAGGTTCACCACGTTCACCTTGATGGTCCACAGCTCCCAGGGGATGCACTCATCCGAGAAGGGCCAGCGCGATTTCTTCTTCTGGTAGAACTCCAGGGAGATCTGCCCCATCCCATCGCTGCCCGAGTTGCGCAAGGCGTCCTGCCGAGAGAGAACGTGGCTCTGGGCGGGGGGGGGGCAGGGGCTCCCCTCCCCTTCGCAGGCGAGGCCACGGCACAGCCCACATGTTTTTAAGCTCCAGCTTTCAGCCCTGCTGGTCTCCCTTACCTTGAACTCCCCGACGGCCTTGCGGAGAGCCCGGTCCAGCTCCTCGGAGGAGACGCGGACGTAGGCAAAGTCGATGAAGTCGCAGTCCACGTCCTGGGTGCCCACGGTGCCGATGGAGTAGGTGCCCTCCTTCTTGTAGTGGAACTTGCCGGTGCTGCGGTGCAGCAGGACAGTGTGGAGCACTGCCAGCATGGCCTCCTCCACCTGCCGACCCTCCACTGACACCTCCAGCACCTCCGCGCGGCAGTTCATGGCGCGGGCGGCTCTGGCGGGGGGACGACAGCAGGTCCTGGGGAGGGGAAACAAGGGTGTTGGGAAGGGGGAACTTGGCTAACAGCCCCCCTACCAACCCCCTTTACGCTCCCCCTGGGGTCCCAGGATGTGTCCTCCCCACCCCACAGGGACCCAGGTGTCCCAGTCCAGGCCCCCTCCCACCTCACAGCAGCCCAGATGTCCCAGTCCAGGCCCTCCAATATCCCACAGGGACCCAGAAATCCCAGTCCAGGCCCTCTCACACACCAGAGAGCCCCCGGTCCCCTCAGCCCCGGGGTCCCAGCCCCCTCCTCACCCCCTCCCGGGGTCCCGGCCCCCTCCTCACCCCCTCCCGGGGTCCCGGGCCCCCCCCCCCCGCCACCGGCCGGGCCCGCACTCACCGGCCGGGCCCGACCATCTGACCACCGGGAGGCGGGTAGTGGGGCAGCCCATCTGCTTAAGGTGGGGGGGGGGCAGGGGGGGGCTCGGCCCACACCTTCTAAAGAAATGGCGGCGCTTCCCGCCGTCGCAGCCGCGTTCCCTCACTATATACCTCGTTGCCTTAGGTCTGTGTCCACCGATGCTGCTTTTGACCGTGGTGCGTCTCCGGAGACGGAATCCCAATCTTCGTTCCGTGGTTTGCTTCACACACACACACACCCCCCCCCCCCCGCACCGCTGCCCGCTTGGTTAGTTCTGAGACGAGAAGCCACAGAGGTGGGCCTTCCGCGGCGCAGAGAGGCTCACTTCCTCGGGGCCCTGCCGGGTGCACAGCGCCCCCTGGGCTGGAGGCTCCGCGGCGGTACTGCAGTGGTGCCGAGGGTCCCGTGACCCCCGGTGACCCCCGGAGTGTCATGGGCCGGGAGGGGGGACACAGCACCAAGGGACAAGGAGAGAACACGGGGATGTACATGGGGACAGGGGACACAGGGGCAGGGGAGAGATGGGGACATACAGACACAAGGGACAGGGGGACACAGAGGATACTGGAGAAAGGGACATGGGGGACAGGGGGACACAGGACAGGGGGAGGGATGGTCATGGGGACATAGGGGAATGGGGACATATGGACACAAGGGACAGGGGTATATGGGGACACGGGGGATACTGGAGAAAGGGACAGGGGGACAAAGGGACAGGGGAAGAGATGGTCATGGGGACACATGGACACAAGGGACAGGGGGACATGGGGATACTGGAGAAAGGGACATGGGGGACACAGGGACAGGGGGACATACAGACACAAGGGACAGGGGGACACAGGGGATATGGGAGAAAAGGACAGGGGGACACTGGGACAGGGGGATGGGTGGTCATGGGGACACGGGAATGGGGACATATGGACACAAGGGACAGGGGTATATGGGGACACTGGGGATACTGGAGAAAGGGACAGGGGGACAAAGGGACAGGGGAAGAGATGGTCATGGGGACACATGGGACAGGGGGACATGGGGGGGACAGGGGGACATGGGGGACACAGGGGATACTGGAGAAAAGGACAGGGGGGACGGAGGACACAAGAAAGGGGGACAGATGGCCATGGGGACAGAGGGGCATGGGGATTTGGGGCACTGCCCTCGTGCCATGCCAGCGTCCCCCGGCCCATCTCAGCATCAGGCCACCCACGCCACCATGGGGCCACATGTCCTGGTGTAAATAGCAGGGAGGGCCGTGGCTGTGGCATGTCACCGGGACACACATGACACACATGTCCGTGCCGTGCAGCCCTGGGGCAAGCAGCACGCCTGGGGTGGGCCGTGGGGCTATTTTTACCTGGCGCTGCTGGCACCATCGTCCCCGTCCCTCAGGGGCTGGGGACAGGGACAAGGTGGGCAGAAGCCAGCCCTGCGCCGTGGGGAGGGGACAGGGACCCACCACCCTGCTCTGCCCCAGCCGGGAACCTCAGGGTCCGGGGGGGGCTTCCCTCCCCCGGAGGCTTCAGAGTAGGGGTCAGCACCGTGACGGACCTTGGAACAGGCAGGCGCTGAGGGGGGGGAACAACACCCCCCCCCACGTGTCCCCTCCCCATCCCCACAGCTCTCCTAGCCCCCCCCCCCCCGCCAGACCCCAGGGCCACAGCCCTGCTGTGCGTCAGTGCTCTCCCCACGGCGGGGGCGGGTGGTGGAGGGGGGGGGACACACACACAGAGGGGCCCTTGTTCGCCGCCGCGGAGCCCCCCCAGCCCAGCACCTCAATGTGGCCCTTGTTCAGCCCCAGCCCTTGGTGTCCCCATCAACATTTGCTCCAGGGCCAGGCTGTCCCCCAGCAGGAAGAAGAGGACAAGCCAGGGGACAATGCCAGCCCAGCGTGTGTGTCCCCTCCCTACACACCAGGACCCCCACCCCCTGACCCCCAGCAGGAATGTGGACCCCAAACTCTGTCCCCACCGGCCCTACCACTGGCCACGTCCCTGGGGACACAGGGAGATGGCTGGCGGGGAGAGGGAGGGAGGGAATGGGACCCGGTCACGCTTCCTGGTTATTTTGGGGACGATAAATCAGGCGGGCGACAGGTGGGGGGGCCACAGCAGCCGCCGCCGGGGGGGGGGTGGGGGGGTGGGGTGAGAGAGGGGTCAAGGGCAGCGGCGTGGGCAACGTGCGGCTCCGGTGCCCTGGCTGTCCCCATGCTCTGCGCCCCCCCCCGCCTTCCAAATCACCCTCTATTAAATATAGATGATGGTAGTAGGTGGGACACACACACACACACACACAGGAGGTTTCAACAGCTCTGAGTGTACGTACAAGTTTATATACAGAAAATGGCCAAAAGAGGGAAAAAAAAAATAATAATATAAAGGGAAGGGGGAGGAGGAGGCTGGGGGGCACGGAGCCCCCCCTCCTGCCCCCACGCTCCCCACTCTGTACAGGACCTGGCCGCTCGCTATTTACAACGGGGGCATTTTTACAGGGGAGAAGGGGAGCATCGCGCCGGCGACGGCCCCCCCCAGGGGGAAATGGCACCGAGGCTGCTGTGCCCGGTGCCGTGAAGGCACGTGGGGGAGGGGGACCCGGGTGTCCCCAAGGGGACCGAGGCATCCCGGCGAGAGGAGGAGGGGTGATTCAAGGCGTCCCCAGGGGTGGTGGCAGCCCTGCCCCCCCCCCCCCCCCCCGCCTCCAAGGGGGGGATGCTCAGAAGGGCAGCGTGTCCATGAAGATCTTGTCGACGATGGGGGGGGGCGGCACCAGGTCCTCCAGCTTCAGGTAGAAGATGCGCTGGAGGCCCTGGGTGCAGAGGCTGCGCAGCTCGGGCAGTTTGCCCAGCAGCTTGGAGAGGCAGCCGGGGCGGCCCGGCTCGGCCCCCGCCGCTGCCACATGGTCCTTCAGGCAGCCCACGATGCGGTTCTGCAGCTCCTCCACCCGCTTGGGCTCCTTCAGCCCGTGGCGGTCTGCGGGAGGGAGAAGGGCGTGAGGCCAAGGGGATGGCCGCGGGGTGGGGAAGGCGAGAACGGGGGTGGCGGGGGGGGGGGGAGGCTCACCTGTGATGATGACGAGGGCGGCGAGGCAGGAGAAGGAGGGGACGTCGACGCTCATGCGGTGCAGGCTCTGGGAGAACTCGAGGATGGCGTCGATCCACTCGCCAAAGCCCCGCACGCACTGCAAGCGGTGCAGCACCACCCCATTGCAAAAGATGAGTTTCCCTTCCTCCGGCTTGGAGCTGCGGGCACAACCACGGGTGTAACCACCCCCTCCCCAGCATGGCCCCGGGCTCCCTGTCGCGCCGTGCCGGGGGCTCACCGGTATGCCAGGCGCAGGATGAAAAGCTCGAGGAAGGCCGACTCCAGCAGCAGGTCCTGGTCCTCCTTGGGCAGCTCGGCGAAGCCCTGGATTTTCTCAGCCCACTTGCGGATGACGTCCATGGAGCCGGTGAGCAGGTCGTAAAACTGCTGCACGTCCACCGAGTCCTCCTTCTCAAACTGGCACGGCGCCGACTCCTGGAACTGCCGTGGGGATGGGGTCAGGATCCGGCCCCGGCACAGCCCCGGGGAGGGCGCGGGGTGGTACCGGCCCTACCTTGGAGTAGTCGAGCTTGGTGGCGCTGGGAATGGAGTCGATGTGCGCTCGCACCAGGGAGGTGATGAGGCTGACGGGGGACGTGTCCGGCGGCTGCTTGGGCTTGGAGGGCAGCCGGCCCCGCCGCCCCTTCAGGCTGTCGGTCCGGACCACTGCGGTGAGGGACATGCAATGAGCACGTCCGTCCTCAGCGCAACCAGGGCCCCCCACCCCAACAGCTGCTGGGATCCCCCCCCAACCCCCTGGACGGGACCCCGGTACCTTCTTTGACCATGCCGACGGCCAGGCACTTCTGGAAGCGGCAGAACTGGCAGCGGTTCCTCCGCCGCTTGTCCACGGGGCAGTCCTTGTTGGCCAGGCAGATGTACTTGGCGTTCTTCTGCACCGTGCGCTGCGGGCGGGGAAGGAGCGGCCCAAGCTCAGCCCGGGGCGCTGAGCCGCCGAACAAAAGCCCTTCTGTCCTCCCCTGCCTCCCGCTCCAACCCGGCATCCGGCTCCGCGTCCGCGGGGAGGGCTCCCGGGGCCACGCTCCCTGCCCTCTGCCCCTCCCCGGGGTGACCCGCAGCATCCTCCCGCTGCTGCAAAGCATTGTGGGAACATCCCAGCCACAGGTTAAGGTGAGGTGGGGGTGGGGGGGGGGTGTCCCCTTACCTTGAAGAAGCCCTTGCAGCCCTCGCAGGTGCGCACGCCGTAGTGCTGGCAGGAAGCGTTGTCCCCACAGACAGCGCAGCGGCCCTCGCCCACCCCGGGGCTGCGCGCCTTGGCGGGGGTCAGCGCCGGCCCCTCCAGCAGCGGCGAGGTGGGGGCCAGGGGCAGCCCGGCAAAGCCCCCGGGGGAGCCCTGGGCCAGGGCAAAGGCGTCCGTGTCCAGCAGCCGCGGGTCCAGGCGGGGCGAGGGGCCTGGCTGTCCCTTCAGGGTCCCGGGGGACGCGCCGGGGCTGTGTGCTGGGGGGCCGAAGGCGAAGAAGGGGGGCTGAGCCCCACCGCCCTTAGCTGGCTCAGCCCAGGGCCGCCCGCCCTCGTAGTTCGGCGGGGGTGAGTACGCCCCAAAAGAGCCCTCCCAGCCCGGAGCCTGGGGCGGCTGGAAGCCCGGCGTGGCGGGCGAGGGGACGGAGCAGGGGCTGCCGTAACAGTCCGAGCCGCTGGAGGAGAGGGTCTCATCCAGCTGCCCGCCGAAGGCGCCGGGGTAGCAGCCGTACACCTGGAAATCCTCCAGCTTGAAGGTGGCGGTGGGCTGGCTGCCGGCCGGCAGCTGGTAGAGGAAGGCGTCGAACTCGCCAGCGTAGCCCTCCATGAAGGTGCTGAAGCTGGGCAAGGAGGGGGCGGCCGCCAAGTCCGCTCCGGCCACCTCCATGGGGAAGCGGCCGCCTTCGGGGTTGAGCAGCTCGGGCGAGCAGCGCTCGCAGGGGCCGGCGCCCGCCGTGCCGTACTGCGCCTGGATGCAGGGCATCTCTGTGGGGAGAGCAGGGCGTCAGCGGGGACCCCATCACCGCACCCACCCTGCAGCCCCTCCGCGGATGAAGATGGGGTGGGGGGGAGGGAGAACCGTGGGGGGCTTCCCCGGGATCCCTCTCGTGCCAGAGCCGGACCCTCGGAGCCGGTGGCAGCCACTGCCGGCCCTGGGAAAGGTCACACTGCAGCCAATGGGCGCAAAGGACATTCCCCAAAACGCTGGCTTAGCAAAGCCACCGAAAGGGAAGGAGGGAGGAATGCGGCCGGCGGATTCCCGAGCCCCGGGGCTGGCTGGGGGAAGCCGGAGCCGGGGCTGAACCAGGACTTGAGGGTCCCGCTCTTTCCCCCCACCCCCATTTCAAAGCCTTTTGGCAAAGCAAACGCAGCCAGAACCGCCAGCTGCAGGGGGGAGTGGAGCCTACCCCCCTGGCCCTGCAGCCCCCTGGCCCCGCAGCACCGATCCAGCCCCCCGTAAGACCTCGCAGGAGTCCCGGGTCCAGCTGAAAGCCAAGCCAGGAGTGACCCCGGTGGCAAGACGATAATGTAATTCATCTCGCAGACCTTTAAATGTCACGCCGTGCCTGGCCCCCGGCCGCTGCAGCCCCGGCACCGCACCGCTGCCAGCTCACCCACCGGCCCCCGGCTTCCCCCAGCCAAGTCCCGGCAGCTTTTGCCGGTGCCCAGAAAACCGATACCCGCACTGGGAGCTGGGTTTAAAAATACCCAGTGTGGGTCCAGCCCTGGCACCCACAGGGTGGCACCAGCCCCCAGTCTACTCCCAGTGCCCCGGTGGGGTTTGTGCCCCATCTGAGGGCTGTGCCAGGCTCAGATGACGGGGTTCAGGGGGGATGGTGACCCCCTCACACACAGCCAGGGGACACAAGGCCACGCTGGGGACATGGCAGCGGGGGACACCAGCTCTGCTTTCCTCACCCACATGCAAATCCTGGCTGCAAATCGCCGGCCGGGCTATGCAAAGCCTCGACCCTTCCCACCATCCCGGCGCTGGGTTTAGCAGCAGCAGGCTGCCAAATTCAAATGTTTTTACCCTCAGCCATGCTCTGGCAGCGTTTGGGGGTCCCCCCCTGCCATGAACCCCGGGGACAAATTCCCGGCAGCGGCCCCCACGCTGCCCACGGCCTGGGGACTAATTGCAGATTCCTCGTTTGGGAGTGCAGGCAGCTGCCCGTGCCCAGGCCCGGAGGCTGGTGGCAGCCCCTGGCACCGGGCCCTGGACTGCGGGCGGGCGAGAGCAGCCGGCAGTGCTGGAGGGGGGGTTGGTGTGTGTGGGGGTAACACTGCCCACCCCGCCACCGGCACCTGCTGCCTCGCCTTGCCAAAATGTGGCCACTGCCAGCCCTGTGTGGGCAGCGAGGGCCTTGTCTGCACCGTGCTGCCCGCACCGCTGTGCCCCCCCCCCCCCCGCCACCGTACCCCCCGTACTGGCTCCACAATCACTCTCACTCTGGGGCTCCCAGGGCGATGCCCGGTTTGGGGGTGATTCTATCCCCGAGAAATGGCTCCCAGTCCCTCACAGCTTCTCCCAGAGCCCAGCGTCGGGCTTTTCCCAGGATCGGGACCCCTCGCTCGCTCTGCTGGTCCCTGCCTGGTGTGCCTCCTCCTTCCCCGCTCCGGTTCTCCCCGGTGCTACCGGGTACCCCCAAGGGCCAGCCCTGCACAGCGCACACCGACCGGTTCCTTCCACCAGGAGCCCCAGCTCCCCCGGTGTCACCGGGATGTCCACTGCCCTGAGCTCCCGGTGCTACCAGGACACCCGACCCAGCTCCAGCTGCAAAACCTAATCCGGTTCTCCCCAGGACGCCTGATCCGGTTCTCCCTGGTGCCACCGGGACACCCGATCCAGCTCCCCCCGGGACGCCTGCCCCCATGCACTTTGCAGGACGCCCGCCGCGACTCGCCTCCGGTACCACCGGGGCACCCGAACCGCCTGCCCCCTGTGCCACCGGGACACCCGAACCGGCTCCCCCACCGGTGCCAACCAGGACACCCGCCCCTATGCACTTTGCGGGACACCCGCGGCTCTGAGCCCCCGGTGCCACCGGGACACCCGACCCCGACTCTCCCCACACTGTCACTGGGACACCCAAACCGGCTGCCGCCAGTGCCATCAGGACACCCAAACTGGTCTTCACCGGGACACCCGAACCGGTCCAGCCCCCCTGGTGCCACCGGGACACCTGACCCCTCTCCCCCCGGTGCCACCGGGACACCCGAACCGGCTGCCCCCAGTGCCACCGGGACACCCAGACTGGTCTTCACCGGGACACCCGAACTGGTCTTGCCCCCTCGGTGCCACCGGGACACCCGAACCGGCTGCCCCCAGTGCCATCAGAACACCCAAACTGGTCTTCACCGGGACACCCGAACCGGTCTTACCCCCTCGGTGCCACCGGGACACCCGAACCAGCTCCCCCCGGGACGCCCAACCGCATACACTTCGCAGGACGCCCGCCGCGGCTCGCCTCCGCTACCACCGGGACACCCAAACCGGCACCCCCCGCTGCCACCGGGACAACCACCCCGTGCACCCCCCGGTGCCACCGGGACACCCGACCCCGTGCACCCCCCGGGGCGCGCCCCGCCCCCCCCCCCCCCCCCGCCCGCGGTGAACCCCTCCGGGGCTCCCCGTACCCGGGTGCCGGCGCGGCGATGCTCCGGTTCCCGTTCCGCCGCCGCTCGCGGGCTCCGCCGGGCTCCGGCCCCGCCACTACTTTCTCTTAAGCGCTCGGTGACGCGCGGGGCGGCGCGCGGGCCCGTGACGCACGGAGGCGCCGTAGAAGGCGCGGGGGGGGGCGGTTCCGGCGGGGGCGCGGCCGTGACGCACGCGGGGTTCCATTGACGCAACCGCGGCGCCCGCGCTAAAAATACCCGCGCGGCCCCGGCTAAAAATAGCACGGGCGCCCCCCGCCCCTCCCCCCCCCCGGGGGGCTCCTGGGGCCGCCGCCGGCGGGGGGGGGCGGGGGGGAGGGAGGCCCCAGTGTCGGAACCGGGACGGGCAGGGGCGGCAACAAGGGGCCGGGGCCGCTATTCCCGGTGCCCGTCATTCCCGGTGCCCGTCTCCCCGGTGCCCTCTCGGTACCGGTATCCCCGGTGCCGGTAACCCCGCTGCTGGCATTCCCCGGTGCTCCCATCCCTGGTTTCCCTTTGATGCCGTTATCCCAGGTGCCTCCATCCCCGGTGTCCCGTCAGTGCTGGTATCCCCGGTGCTGGTGTCCCCGGTGCCCCTTCGCTGCTGATACCCCGGTGCCTCCATCCCCCCGGAGTCCCGTCGGTGCTAATATCCCCGGTGCTGGTATCCCCGTTGTCCCCATCCCCACTGTCCCTCGGTGCCGGTATCTCCGGTGCCCCCTCAGTGCTGACATCCCCGGTGCCCTCATCCCCGGTGTCCCTTTGGTGCCGTTATGCTCGGTGCCTCCATCCCCGGTGCCCCCTCGGTGCTGACATCCCCGGTGCCCCCATCCCCCGTGCCCTCTCGGTGCCGTTATCCCCGGTGCTGGTATCCCCGGTGTCTCCCCGCTGCTGGTACCCCGGTGCCGGCATCCCCCGCTGCCTCCATCCCCGATGCCCCTCTGGTACCGCGTTATCCCCGGTGCTCCCTCGGTGCCCCCATCCCCGGAGCTCCCCTCGGTGCCGGTATCCCCGGTTCCGCTATGCCCAATCCCCATCTGAGCCGGTATCTTCGGTGCTCAGTGTCCCCGGTGCCGGTTCCCCCGGGCTCCCCCCGCCCGGTCCCGGCGGGGAGACCCTGGCCGGGCCGATGGAAAGAGCGGCGGGTGCTGGCGGGCGCCCAGCGCCGGGAACGGCGCCCGCGGGCTGGAGAGATGAGCTCAGCCCGGGCCGGGCCGGCGGGAGGGCGAGGGGTGAGCGGGGAGGGACCCGACACCCCCTCGGCACCCCCCGGTACTCGCCGGTAGCCCCCCCGGCACCCCCCCCCGGTATCCCCCAGCACCCCCCGGTACCCTCCGGCATTCCCCCAGGAACCCTCCGGTACCCCCCTCCGGGACCCCCCCCCGGGCACCCTCCCGTACCCGCTCTCGGTGGCGAACCGAGGGGCTTGGGGGACCCGTCCCGCCGTGCCCACTCGTTCCCCCCGGATTGGCAGCCCCGTTAGTGCCTCCTCCGTGAATGTCACCCCCCGTTAGTGCCCCCCCCCGTTAGTGCCACCAGCGATGCCAGCCTTGGCACTGACCCCCGTTATTCCCCCCCTCTATTCCCCTCCCCTTAATGCCATCCCTCAGCAATGCCCCCCCCGTTAATGCCACCCCAGCAATGCCCCTCCGCAGTGTTAGAGCTCCCCCCCCGGCACGGCCCCGCCGAGCGGTGTGTGGCGGGCACCGGGCCCATCCCCGGGGCATCGGGGCGGCACGACGGGGTCCGGGCCCGCGGAGGAGCTGCCGGGCCCCCCGGTGCCGTGACCCTGCCCGGCTTCCCGGGACCCCTCCGGCCCTGAGAGGAGCGGAAAGGGAGGGAAACCCAGCACCGGAGGGGAGCGGGGGGTGCGGCACCGGGAGCCCAGGGGGGCACGGGGGTTCCGGGAGGTGCCGGTGCCACCTCCTCCCACCGCCCGTTACCTCGCTCCGGCCCCGGCTCCCGCTGCCGCCCGCCCTAGGCGGGGGCCCCGTGACGTCACACCTGGCCGCTGACGTCCCCGGGATCCCGCGGCATCACCGGGGCCTCCCCCGCGGGGATCACCCGGGCTCAACCGGGATCTGTCGGGGGTCCCCACACCCCGCGAGCGGCTCAGCCGGTACCGGGGCTCGGCCCGGGGCTGCAACCGGTACGAACCGGGGGTACAGCCAGGAGCCCCCCTGGGCCCTGGTCACCCGGGGGGATCCCGGGGCTGTCGGGGGTCCCAGGGCTGTCGGGGGTCCCGGAGCGCGGCCGGCCGCATCCCCCTCGCACCCCTCGCTCGGTGGCCGAGCCGGTGGCCGCGCTGCCGGAGGCGGGAGGGTGACGCCGGTGGCCCCCGCACCGGGATTAGCAGTACCCCGGGGGAGGAAACCCGAGCCCGGTCACCCCAGCAAGGCCACGGGCGTGCTCGGAGGGAGCCCCGGCTCCACCCTGACACCCCAGGGGGGCTGTGGGGGGCATGGTGGCCACCAGCCAGCCCTTCCCGCTGGCCCCAGGGCCAGAGTGGTGGGGGCTGGGTGGGCATCGGGGGATGGCAGGGTGCCCACGGCCGGGTGGGTGTCAGCGATTTGCAGGGTGCCCGTGGGGGGGAGGGTGTCGGGGATTACAGGGTGCCCGTGGGTGGGTGTCAGGGAATTACAGGGTACCCACAGGTGAGGGGGTGTCGGGGCTGGAAGGGTGCCCATGGGTGGGTGTTGGGGATTACAGGGTGCCCACGGGTGGGTGGGTGTTGGGGCTAGCAGGGTGCCCACGGGTGGGTGGGTGTCGGGGCTGGCAGAGTGCCCACGAGCAGGTGTCAGGGATTACAGGGTGCCCACAGGTGGGTGTCAGGGATTACAGGGTGCCACGGGTGGGTGGGTGTCAGGGATTTACACGATGCCCACAGCTGGGTGGGTGTCAGGGATTTCAGGGTGCCCACAGGGTGTCCACAGTCTGGGTGGGTGTCGGGGATTACAGGGTGTCCACAGGTGGGTGTTGGGGCTGGCAGGGTACCCAGAGCCGGGTGGGTGTCAGGGATTATAGGGTGCCCACGGGTGGGTGGGTGTTGGGGATTACAGGGTGCCTGTGGGTGGGTGTCGGGGATTACAGGGTGCCCACGGGTGGGTGGGTGTCGAGGCTGGCAGGGTGCCCACGGCCGGCCCTGACTCGCTGCTCCGGGTCTATATTTGTCAGTAATAACAGGCTGCTCCGGGGCGTTCCCAGGCCGGACCCCGCAGCCTTGGCCCTGCCGGTGCCACGCGTGACACCCGTGTCCCGCCGGCGCCTGCTCAGCCCCGGGCACACGCAGCCCCAGCTCGGGGGCTAAAAAAAGCTCCGCGTGGGGTGGCAGCTGCCGCATGGGGGGGGGAGGTGGGGGTGTCCCGTGACGGGGCCGGGGCGCCCCGACCCTGGCAGGGTGCTGGGAGCGCGGCCCCGTCTGTCGGACCATAAATGTCCAAGCTCGAAGCCGTCCTGGAACGGGGACAAGGCAGGAGAACGGTGGGGAGCCGGCTGGGCCCCACGCACACGCGCAGACACACGGCACACACGTGTGCACCTGCAGCATCCCCCCCACCCCACAAACCCACAGTCCCGCGCACCCCGGAGGTTCTCATCCCCAAAACCTCCAGCACACCCCCCCGCTCCGGGGTCCTGGGGTGAGGGGCTGAGCCATGGGTGCACCCCAGGGTGTGGCTGTGGGGTGCAGGAGCTCAGAGCTGGGGTGCCTCAGGGCTTCCCGAACACGCAATAGCCGAGAGAGGCAGAAGCCAGAGGGGAAACTGAGGCACAGAGCCAGCGGCAGCAGGCTGAGGGCTCTTGGGGGCTTGCACAGAGCGCTTGTGCAAGGGAATCCTCGTGCAAGGCCGCCCCTGTGCACCCGTGGGTGCTCGCTGCGGCAGCCTGGGGGTGTGTGTGTGTGTGTGTGTGTCCCCCAAGGCCTCTGGATGCTGCTTTGGTGGGACTGGGGGGGCAGCGGGGCGGAGGATGAGGACTCCAGTGCCCATCCTGCCCCCCCCCCCCGCCGGGCACCCCCGGCCCCCGCAGCCGGAAGGACTCGGGGTGGGACCGGCTTCCCGGCCGCTGCCGGAGGAAACGGGACAGGAAGGGCCTGGCTGGGGCCCCACAGCGCTGGGACATGACCCACGGCACCGGGCGGCGGGTGGGGGGGGGGGAGAAGGACACGGGGTGAGGGGGGTCCCCAGGATCCTCACGTAGGGGCTGAGGTGACATCCGTCACCCCAAAGCTTCACCCAGCTGGCAGGCGGGAGGGCAGTGCAGGAGGTGAGGGGGGGGGGGGGGAGGGGGGCTGCAGCCCCGTGGGGCTCCCCCAGGGGACACAGACCCCCCTCAGCCAGCCTGTGTCCCCCCCCCCCCCCCCCAGTCATAGCCACACGCCGCTGCAAAAAGTCTCTGTATTAGCAAGTGCCGAGCGTGCCGGCGCGGTACAAAAGCCCCCCGGGGTGGCGGGAGGCAGGACCCCCGTGTGTCGTCATCGTGTGTCCCCCCCGCCCCGAGTGGGGACACACACACGCAGGCCGCCCCCCCCCCCCCCATGCCCCTCAAGCGGGGAGGGCACCAATTCCTGAGATGAGCGGTGGCTTCATGAGCCGCCTCGGGGAGGGTCCCCACGTCCGTCCGTCCCTCGGTGCCACGACCCCCGTGGCTTGGGAGGGGGGGGGTGGGGGGGACCCCGACCTTGAGCTCCTTCCAGTGGCCCCAGGGGAGAGGGGGCGGGCACGAAGCCCTTTGCAATAAATAAAATAAATAGGCCTGGGGGGACACCAGTGGTGCCCCCGGCTAGAGGTGACTCTCCTCCTCCTCCAGCGCCCGGTTCAGTCCTGGGATGAATTTGAGCAGCCGCCGGTGAAAGCTGCTGTGCCGGCTCTTGCGGGGGGCGGCCGCCCCCTCCCCGGGGCCCCTGGCCCGCGCCCACAATCGCCCCGTGGCCCCCATTTCCCCGCCGCACTTGAGGCTGGCGCTACGGGCCAGGGCTGGCCGGGGGCGCGGCGGGGGGGGCGCGGGCCCCCCTTTGTCCTTGTCCTTGTCCCCATCCTTGTCTCCCCCCTCCAGCGAGTCGGCGGAGGCGAAGAGGCAGGTCTGGTAGAGGGAGTCGTCGCTGCCGCAGGCGCTGGCGCGGGGGGAGCCGCCGGGCAGCCCCCCCTCACCCTGCAGGCACCAGCGGATGGACTCCAGCGTGTCATAGATGCTGGGGTCCTTGGCCACTACACCTGGAGGGGGATAAAGATGGGGGAGGGGGGGCAATCAGAGGGGGCTGGGGGGTGTCCCACAGCCCCCCCACCCCAGCCCCTACTCACCCCGAACCAGCCGCTGCTCCTGCACCATCAGCGAGCGGTACTCCCCCCACTTCTCATAGAGGGTTTGCTGTGGGGAAGTGGGTGTGTGTGTGTGAAGACCCTGTGGGGGGTCCCCAGCCCCCCTGACCAGTTCCTCCTCCCCCCCCCAATACATCCCCCCCGCCTCACCTTCAGGTACTGCAGCCGGGCCTCCAGCTCGGCCCTCCGGATGGAAGTCCCATAGAGCGTGTCGAGCCTGTGGGGCAGCAGCTGTCAGTGTGGGGGGACTGGGGGTTCCCCCGTTCCCCCCCCCTCCATGCCCCCCAGCTCACCGGAGCATGTTGCCTGAGCTCTTGATAATCTCCACAATCTCCCGGTGCCGGATACCCTCCACGTTGAACCCGTTTACCCCCGTGATTGTGTCCCCTGGAGCGGGGAGGGGGGGAAAACAGGCTCAGGGATGCTGGGCCCCACTGCTGGCCCCCCCCCCCCCCCGGGGATGTGCTCACCGGCCTTGAGTCCCGCTGCCTCGGCTGGGCTCCCGCTATGGACCCGGCACACGAAGGTGAACATCTCCACGCTGTTCCTGTCCTGGTGGTGCAGCCCGTAGGTCTGAAATGGGGGGGGGGGGGGCGGCTCATGAGGGGTTTGGGGGGGACCCCCTGACCCCCAGGGTCCTCCCCAGGCACCAGGTAGGAATTGCAGCATTTAAGTGCTGCTGGGAGATGTGGGGCAGCACCCCGGCCCCCGGGGGTGGCTGTCTCGCCCCTGATGGCTGCACCCCAAGTGGGGCCCCCCCAGCCGCCCCCACTGTCATGGCCAGGGGAGGTTTCGGTAACCAGGCAGCTCTGTCACCGCTAAAAATAAATCCTGGCTCAGAGACAATTTAAAAATACCCTCGATGCAAAGCAAGGTGCGGGCTGGAAGGGTGGGGAGGGCGGCACGGCGTGGCACGGCACGGCACCCACCTGGATCTCGAAGCCGAAGGTCTCTTCCGCCGCCTTCTCCAGTGTCACCACCCTCCTGGGGGACACGGGGATCAGGGACAATTCAGAGCCCCTGGCACCCCCCACCCCGACTTGCCCGCTGAGACCTCGGGCGCTTCTCTCATGAAATGCTGCTTTGGGGTTTGGGTTTCCTCTGTGCTGGGCAGGACCCCAAAGGTGGGACCCCCCCCCCCAAGGGATAGGACCCCCCCAGGGATAGGACCCACCCAGGTTGGCCTTGACCAGAGGCCTGCAGCCTGTCCCATGGGTACCGGGCAGGGTCCCCACGGGGTCTGGGGGTGTCAGGCCCCCCCAGGGAACCATGACCCCATCGCTGCTCTCACCTGCCCGAGCTTTCCCCTAAAGTCACCCCCATTTCCAGCCCCTGTGGGGTGTCAGAGTGAAGCAGGCCAAGCCCTGACCCACTGGAACACAGACCCCAGCCCCACTCCCACGCGTGTCCCCCCCCCATCAGCGGGTCCCGGACCCCTGTCCCCTACCTGTGCTCCTCTGGGGACTGGCTCGGGGACGCCCACCTGAACCCCGCACCCTGTGGCAGAGGGAGATCCATCAGCGGGGGACCCCAGCCCGGATCACGTCCCCCTGCCACCCCCTCCAGGGACAGCCGAAACAGGGTGTCCCATCAGCACCCCCGGGGAGCACCGTGCCAAGCCGGCACCGAACCAGCACCCGGGGGCACCCATAGTCCCGTGGCCCCCCCCCCCCCCCCCGGCTGGCTGGGCATAACGAGGCTTTTTATCGGTGCTCAAAGCCACCCTCACATCTGCTCCGTGCTCCCCCCACGCTTTGACGTCAGCTGGCGATGCACCCCACCCCACGCCACGCTCTGGGGGGGGGGCGGGGGGGGCCCAGGCACAGAGGGGCCCTGTTGTGGTCACAAAGTCGTTTTTTTTTCATGTAAAATCCACTTCCCCGCCCCCCCCCCCCCGCCCCGAGCCCAGACAATGTCCCTGTTGTGGAGGGTACAGAGGCGTGGGCGGGCGGAGGGATGGGATGGGCACAACAGGACCCTCGCCGTGGGGCAGGAGGTGACAGGGCTGTCCCCAAATGCCCCTCTGAGGCTGCTGGGCTCCGGCAGCCCCGGCACGGTGTGGCCGGCGTCACCCGGACCTGTGCCTCGAGAGCGGCACGTGGCCCGTCGCGTGGTGCCACCAGCTCCCCCTGCTCCGTGCCACACGGGCGTCACCAATGCCGTGGCCGTGAGTGTTTCAAGCTCAAAGCCACCATAATCGGGTGCAGTCGCCGTGGGGAAAGTTGCCACCCGTCCCGTCGGGCCCCCACGTCACCCCAGTGACGGGGAGGTGACGCAGGATGCCTGAGCCCCCTTGGGGACATCTCCAGCGGTGGCCTCGGCCGGTGAGTGGGAGCCAGGCCACCGCACGTGACACGGCCCACGCCAGCGCGGCCGCGAGAGCCACTTCTGCTCCGGATGTCGGCTCTGCTCTCGCTTCCCCCCCCCCCCCCCCCCGATGTTCAGGAAATGCTGCGGGGCCGGGGGGGGGACACGACACGTCGGGGCCCCAGCGTCGCTGCAGAGGGGCTTTCCCAAGGGCGCGGTGGCAGACGGTCCCGTGTCCCACCAAGCCAGGTCCTGGGGGGTACCTTGTGCCCTGTCCCCCCCCCCTCCCTCCTTGGGGTAGAGCCTGGGGGCCATGGGGACACAACTGTCCTGGTGACATGGCCACACACAGCAGGGTGGGGGCTTGTCCCTGTGTCCCAAAGGCTGCAGAGCGGGATATGGGGAGGAGCTGGGACAGCATGTGGGGTTTAGGAGGGACAGTGGAGTGGGGGGAGGGACACAGGGAAGATACTGGGGCAGGACCTGGGGAGGAACCGGGACAGGACATGATGCTTGGGGGGACAACAGTGGAGCTGGATGGGGACACTGAGAACATGCTGGAGCAGGATGGGGAGATGCTGGGGTAGGACAAGAGGCTGGGGGGGGGACACACCGGGGCAGGATGGGGACAGTGGGACAGGATAAGAGGCTGGGGGGGGACACACCGGGGCAGGATGGGGACAGTGGGACAGGATAAGAGGCTGGGGGGGGACACACCGGGGCAGGATGGGGACAGTGGGGCAGGATAAGAGGCTGGGGGGGGACACACCGGGGCAGGATGGGGACAGTGGGGCAGGATAAGAGGCTGGGGGGACACACACCAGGGCAGGATGGGGACAGTGGGGCAGGATAAGAGGCTGAGGGGGGACACACCGGGGCAGGATAAGAGGCTGGGGGGGACACACCGGGGCAGGATAAGAGGCTGGGGGGGACACACCGGGGCAGGATGGGGACAGTGGGGCAGGATAAGAGGCTGGGGGGGGGACACACCGGGGCAGGATGGGGACAGTAGGGCAGGATAAGAGGCTGGGGGGACACACACCGGGGCAGGATGGGGACAGTGGGGCAGGATAAGAGGCTGGGGGGGGGACACACCGGGGCAGGATGGGGACAGTGGGGCAGGATAAGAGGCTGGGGGGACACACACCAGGGCAGGATGGGGACAGTGGGGCAGGATAAGAGGCTGGGGGGGGACACACCGAGGCAGGATAAGAGGCTGGGGGGGACACACCGGGGCAGGATGGGGACAGTGGGGCAGGATAAGAGGCTGGGGGGACACACACCGGGGCAGGATGGGGACAGTGGGGCAGGATAAGAGGCTGGGGGGGGACACACCGGGGCAGGATAAGAGGCTGGGGGTAGACACACTCTGGGGCACGATGGGGACACTGGGGCAGGACAAGAGCCCAGGAGAAGCCACCGGGACAGCTCTGCAGTGTACAGGCATCAACGACCTCACAGGACGGGGACACCCACCCACCCCCCCCCCCAGCCCGTGGCCGGTCACGGCGCTGGATCCCCCAGCAGCCCCAGTGAACAGCGTGTAGTGGGGGCGGGGGGGGGGGCTCCCCCGCCCTCCCCGCGCCCGGGGGGCTGCCGGTAGCCCTACCTTGCGCACCCGGGGCAGGGTCCCGCCGGCGGCCACCAGTGCCCGGTAGACATCGGCGGGGCCGGGGGGCTCCGGGGCCGCCGCCGCATCCTCCTCCTCCTCCTCCTCCTTCGGCCGGAGCCGCCGCAGCCGCCGCAGGGTCATGGCCGGGCAGCGCCGCCCCGCGCGTCCCTATATCAGCCCGCGGGGGGCGTGGCCTCACCGGGACACGCCCATTCATGCGCTTAACCACGCCCCGTTATCCGCGAAACCACGCCCGTCCCGCCGCTAAGCCCCGCCCCGGCGCGGTCCAGGTCCTGCGCGGGGATGCCGTGGGGCGCAGCGTGAGGAGGATGCTGTGGGGCAGGAGCAGCGTGGGGCGCTGCGTGGGGCCGGCGGGAGGATTGAAACCGTTCCTGAGGACACGGAGGCGAACAATTCCCGGAGGCAGAGGTGGGGAGGCTGGCGCGGACACGGCCGGTGGCTCCGGGCAGCCTTTGCTGCGCTGCGGCGGGAGGGAGCAGGAATTTTCCAGCTGGAACGGAGGAGCTCGCCCAGATGTTTATTTAAAATTGGCCAAAAGCAGCAGTTTGTAACAATCCGGCCGGCGTTACGCCCAAGCCCGCCAGCCACAGCCTGGCCGGGGGTTACCCGCAGCCAAACTTCCTCCCAGGGCTGAGCTGCTCCGGCTTGGAAGTGCTGGGGGAAGGTCAGGATTGGGCCCCCCCCAGCCCAAGGCGCCAAACCCCAACCCCTTATCAGGGAGCAAAGAGGAACTGCCCAGCCTCTTCCCAAAATCTGGCAGCCCAGGTAAGGACTTGGCCGAAGCCACCCCAGACCTGTTTTCCCATCACATTTAAAGACAATTTTTGCCTTTTTTTTTTTTTTTTTAAAGAATCATACTCTGCCCTCACCCGCTGTTTCTAATTCCAAGTTTCTTGGACACAGGTGGGAAGGAAGGGGCGAGCCCAGATGGCAGCTCCCCCTCCTCACCCCCGTGGATTTTCCCCTCCATCCGCTCACACCACGCTCATCCCCGGAGGCTTTAATTAGGGAGAATTAGTGGGGGCACTTTGCGCAGCACCGGCTGCCCTCCGAGCTAACAGGATTTTACAGGGATGTTGGACAGTTTGGACTGATTTATCCTCCTCTGAAGGCATGGGTCTGTGGAGGGGGACCGAGGGGGCGGCCCGCTGTTCCCCTTTCTTGCTTCCCTGTACTGTTCCACAGAGACCTGAGAGGGAGCCCCACTCTGCCCCATCCCTGGCTCAGCTCTGCTACAATCCAGGCATCTCCAGCAATAAAGGGAAGATTCAACATTAAGGTGTGCTGAGCAGGATTCCCCGGGGAGATTATTTCAGCTGTGGGTGAACAGGGTCCCCCCAGATGCTTCGCTGGGGGACTAAAAGCTCTGCCAGTCTTTGCCGCTCCGTTCCTCTCCCTTTACACCTCGGCTAACCCCTCGCAGCAAACCACGAGAGACTCCAACACCTCACGTGAATAAAACAAACTTTTAATAATGTACAGCAGAAATCGACAGCCTTGTTTTATATTAAACAAAAGATTTCCTATATTACATTGTATTTACATTTGCATACTGAAGAGGTAAAGTGTCTAAGTGGCTATTTTACAGTCCATTTCTAATAAAATATACAAAACCAAACAAATAAAAGGGGCAGATAAGTACCAAGAGATCTGTTCTGAAGCCAGCGTACCACTGCTTAACCCTGCGCCGCAGACAAGAAGCACAAGCTCCGTACCTCTGCCTCCCACCACGATCAGCCCTCGACTATCTGACGTCTCCCCTCCTCGTTCTGAGCTGCTGCGGCGTCGGTCTCTCGTCCCAAACTGTCTTGTAGTGTCGGATTTTTTTCCACAGCTGCTGCAGCCACCTCTGAGTCGGGCACGTTTCAGAGCTGGGCAGCGATTCCTATGTTTGCTACTGGTCAGCTAAGTAAGCACTGCACCTCCCTGGCACGTGTTTGCATGAAAAGTGCTGTATAAATGCTACATAGTCAGCGTTCCCATCTCAGATCCTCCTCAGTTTTTGACCATCTCCCAGTGGCATCTCTCTACAAACAAGGCTTCTTCTGCAATCCTGCTTATAGGGGATACCCTGTCGTCCTGCCCTCACCCCTTCTCTAACCTTATCCGGTCTGAAACCGCTCCGCTGTCTGCTGTTTGGTTTAGCGCTGAGGCAGATGCATGTGTGGCTACAGTTGGAGGGGTGGGGGAAGTGCGTCAGTGCAAGTTACGTAGCTGATTTAGTGTCCTCGAGAACCAGCCTGCACACTTCTCAAGGACGGGAGACTCGTCCCGGAAACGAGAGCCCGCAGTGCTCGCGGAGGAGCGCGCGGCAGACGTACCTACCGGCGTGATGGGCTTTCCTACGGCAATTTATTTCACAGTCGCTAAAGCTTCCTCCCCAACCCGCCGGGATGGGCATCGCCAGGGTCCTGTTAGAGCAGCTGAAGAGTCTTTAGGGTATCTGAGAAGTGCCCACCACCTCGGTTTCTAAATGCAGAAGGGTTTGGTTAAGGGACGGACGGCACTGGAGACACACGGTAACCTCTGGCTGCGATACGAGTCCGAACAAATCGGGAAGGGAAGGGAAGCTGGACATTCACAAAGCGTACACTCCACGAACCAGCCCGAAGGCTGCTGGCCCTCCCACGACAGCTCTGCACCGCCCGACCGCCGAACTCCACGGCAGGATGCAAAATGGATCCAAACACCATGCAAAAAAAAACCCCCACTCCTCACTTTACACAAAGTCACAGACAAGATAAGGAGCATGGGGGAAGACGGACACACAGAGAGATCCACAGACAGCAAGAACAGAGTGTTTTAAAAAAAAAAAAAAAAAAAAAAAAAGTTAACCCCGGTGGCCGGAGCAGAGATGAAACCTCACCTTACAGAGCAGGCGCAAGGTTTGAGTAGAAACAGTTCCAGTGTAAATCGAGCTGTGTGCATTTGTTTTTTTTTTTCTCTTTTTTTTTTTTTTTTTTTTGCAGTGATTTCTTTACAAACAAACAAGTCAAGAGGTAATAATTATAGATTGTTTTTCTTCTCTTATAAAGAATTAACAATATTAAAAAAAGTTAAAATCCAGACCCTCCCATAAAATAATAATAAAAAAAAATAATAATCAAAACCACTCCAGTTAAAAGTTATGGCTTCAGAGTTATATACCATAGATACTGACCTAACCACCAAACCACCGGCACTTCCCAGATTGCCTTTAATGCTGCAACCAGCACGCCAGGCTCAGCCCTCGGCTACTTCCTTTTTTGCTAGGCCCAGCTGTAGACAACAGTCAAACCAATTCTACTTCACCCTGATTCGGCATTTAATCAAAAGAAAATTCATGCAGTTCCCCCCACCCCACAAGTTATACACAGCCACTTCCAGATTATGAGATATTTATATATGTATATTAAAAAGATGGACATCGATTTCCAAACCCACACCCCGCTGTCAGATCCTGCCAGGCGCTGAGCGCCTCTTGGGAGGTGCAGAGCACACCCAGGCACCCGGCCCCCGTGGCTCAGGCCCCGAGGTCTGCCCCACGCTGCCGAGCGTGCCTCGGGAATCGCGTGCCAAGAACGGCCTCCCGCGTTTCCCCGTGGCTCGGTCTCCTTCCAGCCGGGCGCAGTGCCTGCTCTACCTCTGACATGCATCTCAGCTCCGTGGCATCTCTCACCCCCAGGTCTCTCTTTCCACCCTACCAAAAATTAGAAACCTCAGGGGCTCGAGACAAAAAAAAAAAAAAAAAAAAAAACGACCTGGATTCCAGGAGTGATGTCAATTCCTCATTTGTTTTGTCTTAAAAAAAGGGAGGGGGTGGCAGTGAGGCAATCTGACGGGAAGTTCCTGCAGCCGGCGTACGGACGGCAAGGCCACAGCACCCATCGGAGAGCTAAGGATCTGGTTTGAAGCAGCCTGTCCAAGCTAGACAATGCTCACTACTCGACAAGGAGAGCACCAGCGCGCACAGCTCAAAAAAAGGACACTCTAGATTTGCACATGCACAGAAAGCACGAACAGAGATGAGCCACCCTACGGGCAGACACTGCACGTCTACGGAAGGAGATGAACAGGCACAGGGGACACGCGCACCTCGCGCATGCATACACCATTGCGCACACTGACAGCCAGTCAGAGTTCTGGTTTTGACTTAGAATTTTTCAAGCTTAAGAAAAAGGAGGGAAATGGTTTCATGAAGCTGATAAACTGTTCAGGCTCAGCCTCTCAGAAGGGAGCACCATTTGTTTTGCAAATGCTTTTTCTGCATTAACATGCCAGTCCCTGGAAAAATCCTCAGAGTACGGCAAAAAAACCTTCCCTTTCCCTTCCCACTCCCAGCACCTAGCACCCTGGCCTCAGACACAGCCACCGGGTGCACCGCACGCACTGAACTTTACAGGGATTTCCATTAAAGAAACAAGAGTTACAATCACGGCTGTCCCTCTCAAGTCTTCACGCTGTCAGGAGGTGATCATAAAAAGTTTCTGATTGTTTCATACCCGAGCAGGGAAGAGAGCAATTCAATAGGCTCCGTCACCCCACCTAGCAGCCTGTAGGTCACGCTGTCTGGTTGGTAGCAGTAGATTGGGCAGAAACACGAGGTAGGCCTCCATCACACGTCTAACTCTAGCATGGCAGCTTTTGTGCAGTTTCCTCCTGCTGGGGCTCAGAGCCTAGATTTTCACATCTTCCTGGACACTGAGCTGTGAGAGGGTTTTCTTAATGCGGAGGGCGGTGAGTCGAGCCGCTCCGTTGGCGTACCAGCACTCTCGCATCATCTTACCCATCACCCGTAGTGCCTAGGCAAGAAACAACGGCAGACGTCAGTGCTCTCCTCTCCCCCGACCGCAAGTCGCTCTGCCAGGACACCGATCCAGCCTCCGCACCGCCTAAAATTGGAGCTCAACTTACAGACCTTACTCTTCGTTCACCTTACCGAGGGGGAAAGTAGATGAAAGCAAACCTTACCTCGTAGCTTTGCCACCAATTCGGGATATTAGGCCGTAATTTCTGATCACACACGACCTTCCGCATCTCCTCAATAGAAGGATCAGAGGGTACAAGGTCGTAGTACGGAAGCTGATACTCTTCGTGGATACCTGAAAAGCAGAGAAGGAGAAATGCAATTCCTGGGAGAACGCATCGCCACCACAGTGCTCACTGAAGGCAGACTGATACTGGTTTGGACTACATGACTCATCGCTGAGATGCGTCAACACTTTGCAGTTATTTAGAACAGAAATGAAGAATCTGGGATTTGAGTTTACAAGAAAAATTCAGGGAAATAAAATGCAGCTGCCCAAACTGGAACAGAGTCAGCGTGCTGTGGTCAACACCTCCCAGCACAGAGGCAGGGTCGCTGAACCGCGCCCGGGCTGAAGGCAGCAGGAGTGTCGCACGCGTGACGGTGCTGTGCTCCTGCCTGCAGCTGGATGTGCCAAGACACTTGTTTATAGTGACACGGGGGAAGAAAATCACCCACCAAATCAGCACCACCAGCTCCCCTCAAAACCCGTCCAAAGGAACCTGAGCCGCCAGTCAGAGCATTAACCCCCACTTCCCCACACTGCCAGGTCACTCCTGTTAACTCCCCCGGGAGCAGCGCACACGTTCTCGTCCTCCTGCAGCCCTGATCTCCAGGCTCCTCAAACCTCACAGACAACTGAGCAACAGAAATTCCGAGGTGGGAAACCCAGGGGCAAGGCAAGGCACGGGCCCACCAAGGGCATTACCTCCTGCGTTGCACCTTCGAGCAATCTCCCAGTAGACCAAGCCCAAGGCATAGATATCGGCACATTTAAATGAATCAAAATGCTTCATGTTAATGGTTTCATCCAAGACTTCAGGGGCCATGTATCTGCAGAACAGAAAAGAAACAGCATGTTAATTTTGAGAGGGGATTTTCCAGAAGATAGTAAATGGCAAGTTTTCCCACACAGCATTTCCCAGCAGACAACACTCTGCTCTGCACAGCCTTAATCTGAACAGAACTGGGCTCCACGGTCTAATAGAGTGAACAAAGCAACTCAAAAAGAATAGCAAGTTGGGTAAGAGGTAAAAACGTCCACAAGCACATCAGGCTCCAGACAGCAGGCCCCAAAAGGCTTCTGAGAATGCCAAGTTTGGTATCACGTATTACACGAGCTCCCTGCTGCTGAGTTTACGTCGCTGGCATACACCTCTCAGCTTGATGGCACCTGGAGACAAAGGTACTGACGTCCCTTCAACATCAATCCGGGCACAATGCTGGCACTCTGCGAGACACTTGGAAATGCTTAAGAAAGAGAATTTCATCAGTGCTCAACCAGCAGCTCAGGCCTTTTCTAGTTAGTCACACTCTGATGCCTTTGAACACTGGCCAAGAACACCGTTCTCCTACCGTTTGGTTCCGACCCTTTGATTTGGTGCAATATCAATTGTATCCGTAACTGAATCATGCCGGACGGCCAGACCAAGGTCAGCGATGGCACACGTGCCATTTTTCTTCACCAAGATGTTCTTGGATTTCAAGTCTCTGTGAGCAATCCCAGGCTTTCCTAATAGAGCAAAAAAAAAAAAAAAAAAGTAGCGGGGGTCAAGGTCTGGTGAAATCTATTAGTCAAACTGGCACAGAGGCAGTACCGGATTTCAGGGCGTTAGTTAAAACTTTCAGTGTTGCAACGCATTTTCCTGTTTGGATACACTGAGGAACAGAGCAGTGCTGGCAGCCTGTGGCATGCAAAGGCTCCCCCAGGCACTGCTGATGCAGTAGCATCCAGAGGCCTCAAGAGGGACATAAACTCCATCATCTCAGGCATCAGACACGATGTGGACGTAAGGTGTTTATAATTCTGCTGCTGCCTGCGCTAACATCCCGCCCAAGTAGCGCCAATTTTAGGACGGGGATGTGAAATGCTGCTATAACTCCCAGGAGCTAGCTGAGGCTAACCCACTTTGCAGCCAGCCAAAGCAATCAGCCCATTTCTGGTCAATACTGACCAGACGAATCCGGGCCGACTCAGCCAGGGGTTTTTCGTGCAGCACAGACCCACTCACCAATTCTGCTTTATTCTCCCCTCAAGAACTCCCAGCGCCTTTTCAAACTTTGCTCTTACCCTGAGTACCCACAATCTCCATGTGCAGATGGGCCAGTCCGCTAGCAGCAGACAGGGCGAGCTTGATCATCCCCTCGATGGTCACCGTGTATCGATTAAGATAGTCAAAGAGAGATCCATGCTCATGGTAATCGGAGACGAGCCACAGCTGAGTCCATGTTCCATTATCTGCAGCAGGAAAATGACTGTGCTCAGACATATACAACGCAGGGGCGGCACACAACCGCTGAGAATGTTGCACCTTATCTTTCTGGTACAGAGGAGAGCTGCTGGGGAAGGCTGCAGCTCAACAGCCAACCTGGGGGCAAATAAGGTGAAGAACTAGAGGGCAAAACACGGCTTTGTAAGGTAGAGTTAATGCCTTTCAAAAACAGCAGCAATTTTACCATCTTTTGGTGAGAAACATTCCTATATGTAGCTATTTGAAAAGCATGCTGACAGTTTTCTTTAACCATTTAATTGTAAATCCAAGCGAGGAAATGCAACTCTCAAGAGCAGACTGTACACACTGGTGAAGCCTCTGCTCTCAGGACTGAGGTACTTCTTACCTTTGTTATCTGCAGCAATAAATCCCAGGATGTTCTCATGTCGCAGCATAACAGTTTGATATATTTCTGCTTCCCTGAACCAGGAACGCTCCTCACGTGAAGAAAAGATTTTTACAGCTACGTCACCTCCACGCCACCTGCCACGCCACACTTCCCCAAAGCGGCCTTTACCAATGATCTCCTGAAGGACAATGGTCCGAGCCACAGTCCGTTGGACAAAAAGCGGCAAACCTACGGACAAGAAATTGGCGGAATGAAAAGAAACTTCTGAAACCCCTCCGAGACTGAAGTGGAGCAGCACCAAACCTAGAAGGCTCTGCATTTGATAACAACCTGTAAGACCCGAACCAGCAAATGGTGGTTGCTCCTGCGCAGGATGTGCCGTTTGGCTGCTTGGGCAGCATCTGCATATCGCTTTGAAGAAGCTTGCAAACTGCCAGTGATTAGGCACAGAGCAGTCGGGGAACTTCTGCTCGATGGCAGATCAAAGTAACTTTAGCCTGAATATGCAGAGAATGCAACTCGTTGAAGACAGACTCTGCTAAAAAGCAGTAAACCCCCAGAATGTCTCTTAAGAAAGGAGTCCAAACATTGCTGCCACCTCTTCGGTAAACTAGAGAGCTCACCTGCTGAGAGCATATACAGAAGAGATCCCAGAACGCTTTATAAATAGTGGATGCGGTACTAAAGGTTTATTCCCTGGTCAAATATCAGGTTGTTATATTCTCTGCCTCTGTGGATTATCCTACAGTTTCCATCTGCTGCAAAAGTCAACTTTTTTTTTTTTCATAGTTCAAAGTCATAAATAACATTATAACGTCCCTATCTATTCTGGGGATGATTTAAGTGCCACAGAAGTGAACACGCTGTACATCATCCACTGTGGAACACCCCAGGATTCCCTGGGATGAAATGGGCTGTCCAAATGCAGTATTTGCACGCTACTAAATCTGCAGCTGCTGGGATCTTTCCCATTTTCCTGCCAGCTGTGATGCAGGTGACTTCCTGCATCCTCCTTTCCTCCTTTGAAAGCCAACAACTGCCAGGTTAGCAGTTAATGTCTGCTTCCAACCCCAACCCAGTTCCAAGGTTAAATTTGAAACAGATGCAACCTTTTGAGTTATCCTCTTGCAGAAAAGGAAGGAAGCTACACAAAACTATTTTTACACATCAGCAGTTAAGGAGGAGTTGAACTACTGCTCTTACCTAGCCTAAGCCCTGAACACTGACACGGGGCCATGGCTGCAACGTCTACTGCATGAGTGAATTTAAAACACACCCTCCACATTACTCATGGCAGGGCAACCCAAACAGGCTGACGAAGCAACGGCCTCACAGCCATGCAAAGCTGTGGCAACCAGGAGCCCAGAAGAGACTACTCCATTACAATTACAAGTTCTCATTCGTCACTTCCAGTCATATCTTAATACCTGATCCAGAGCCAGAGGTGGAGAGATCGTAGACTAGATCTTGCAAGGTCTTATCCTTCGACAGGCACATTTCACAAGAGGGGTCTTCCATGTCCAGCCGCTGACGATTGTGATACACTCGTTGGTGGTGATGAAAAACAAAGACTACTACGATCATGACAACAAACACAAGGAAGACAGGTCCAGCAATCACTGCCACCAGCTCCACAGGACCCCAGCTCGACGGGGGTTCGTTATCTTTCAGGTGTCCTTGGAGAGGAAAAGGAGGAGAAACGGACACTTTTAGAAAATTATTACTCCTTCACAAGCGTTCTTTAAGGACTTTCTTCTTGTGTTTTAATTAGCCTCTTGGAGACTGGACAATTTTAGCTTGCTGTTCCAGGATGGTAGAGGACACATCAAATAACAGCGTTAACATGGGACTGATCAAGTCATCAGGCAGGCAAACTACAGCTAAAACCCCCCAAAGATGGTGCTTCAGTTGTGGGATCAGGGATTATTGGCACTTGCTATTAAAAGAGGACAGGAGCCTGTTCTGGGCTGAATTTGCTAGAACAGCCTGCATTTTACCTTCCACGCAACTCTCCAAATGGGAGAAGAAACAACCAGTCTTTACTAGCACTCGTTGCTCCCTTCTTCCCCTTTGCCCCGTAACAACCAGTGAAGACTTGTACCTGAAGACAACAATTATTTGTCTTTTTGAGACCAGATAAGATTTCCCCACTGCACCCAAGGAAAATGGATACTGCAATTTTCATACGACCCACTAAACAGCCCAAAACAGAGAGTAACGAGGTATGAGGAAGTACCGCATGCCCTCTCTGTCCCAGGAATTGGAAAGAAGCAGACGTTTCCCACACCCTCACTCAAAGGCAGGGCTGCTTCCTCTTTAGGTATTCAGGATCTGGGCACCCCTCCACCCCACACACTTTACTCTGAAGCTGCTGCAACTCTCCCATACTCATGAGTTCATCACTGGAAAGATCTGCAGTCCTAGAAGAAGGAAAGCCACTCTATCTGATAAAAGGCAGGCTACTGCACAACCCAGTGCCAGAAAAGGGACCTGTGCTGTGCCCAGGGAACACGCACAGTCTTCAGGCCACTGCAGGCACGGAGCATCATGCAGCAGAAGCTTCTATTTATCTGTAGGTGAACACTGCTGCTGCTAGGAGCCTGTAGGATACCGGCAGCAGAGCTGATGAAGTCAGAGGAGTCTCAGAATATGGAGCTATTGAATGCTGTAAAACTGCAAAAAACCCCAAGCTTTGGAAGTTTCTCCTACCCTAAAGTACAATCTCATCTGGTGACATTTTGTCAGCCACAGGGGAGTTCAAGCAACTCCGTATTTTAATTTGAAGTAGTTTGTTATTATTTCCACTTTACAAATCAAGGAAATAAACCCAGTGCTCAAGTTCACACAGCAACCTAAGGGAAGAAGTGAAAACAGGGCTGAGAACTCCCTATTCCCAATACCAAACAGAGAGTTTCTCTCCTCCCCACCTCAAACAGACCATTTATTTAGCTCTCTACTCACCACTGGGAACCATTAAATCAATTTTGTTGCAAAAATCAGAGTAGCAGCAGTGAGTATTACGCAGATCTTCTGAACTCAGACAATAGAAGGGTTTCCCAGCAGGAATCAATTTTGCTTCAGGAATGCAGGTCCGAACGTGATGTTTAACACCATCCAGGTTGAAGACCGAGACCATGCACGCGCCGTCCGTTTCACACGTGGAGTTGGCTTGTTTGCAGTCGGAGCACAAACATGTCAAAGCTGCAGAAATCAAAACAAGACCACCTCCTTAAAACCCACCGGAGACCAAATGCTCAAACAAGAGAAAACTTTCTTCTTTAAATTTCCCATTTCAGAGGGAACGGGCTATTTTCAGGTTCAGGAAGAACTGGCTTTAGGAACAGAAGAAGTCATACTCAGTATTTCAGACTCACAAGCACCCAATTTAAGCACAAAATACAATGTGGAAGCAGAGGAGCCTTTCCAGAAGATGACTGTCCAGACAGCCCTTTTTCCTGCCCCTGTTGCAACCACTAACAGCGATGACCCAAGTCATTTCTGCAAACTAGGCTAGATTTTAGCGAGATCCAACCCAACCTAAGGTCAGAATTCAAGCTGAAAACAACAATCACTCAAACTGACAAACTTGATTTCACCCACGCTCACTGCCCAGGCTTTCTCAGCTACGCCAAAGACAAGCTGCCCGTTACAGGTTAGTGAGGGACGACCACCCCAGCTCGCGGGAGACAACAAGCAGTTGGCAGATGCCAAAACAAAACCAATTCAAACCGACTACGCAAGCCAAGCGTGCTACGCCCAACTAGATCAGTCACTTATTTAGTAACTGCTTTCCTGATCCGAGACACTACCTTGGGTCAAATAAATTCCTGGCTTTTTGCCTGCTCTTCATGAAGATTATTTGGGTAAAGAGCGAAGGAGAAACTCCAAGGCAGATTCCCACATTTTTCCGCCTCCCAGCTGTCATTGTGCTTTTCTCAAGCTGCCTGAAAAACTGTAAGCAAATCCCCAGGCATCGCCATCCTTGGGAACAAAGAGCGAATACAATAATGTCAAGAAGAAGGGTGGGGCTTGTTTAGCAGCACACAGTATTTTCTTCAGCTTTCATCAGATCTTTCAGCCTCCCCGGAGGGACTCACAAACATGTACTTACCCGCTGCAGAAATGGTCTTTCAGGTAGAGAGAGTCTGAAGAAGTGTTTTAAAAGATACAAGTGCCACAGTTAACCCTCCCCAGTCCGATAGCTAAATCCTCTGTGTCTGCTTGCACCCTCTTGATCTAAAGACACACGCCAAAGTCACTGTCAACACTCGTGCGTTCGTGTGAGCCACCTTCCCGTGGGGCAAGGGGAATGCCGAGCCCTCGGTCGTACCATCTCTGGCAACCAGCAGGCTGAAGGAGCATCAGCACTCAAGGACATTTGTAGCCCTGGCAGAGCCTCTTGCTCCTAGCCTGCGCACGGTCCAAAGCGCAGCGCAGAGTTACGCTGCTGGGGGCATGTTACCTTCAGCTTAACGAAAAACAAGCAGGTCCTGATCAACTTCAGGGTTCGTTTAGGAGGAAGACACCCATTATCCCTTATCGCCAGTGTCCTAGGTAAATCAGTTAGGCTAATTGCATTACTATTCACTTAATTCTCTCTGGACGCTGCACTCCTCATTTCCTAGCTGTTGTTGTGAGCTACTTAACAGCTCCGAGGTGGGCTGCAGTATTTCAGACAGGCTAAGTGCAGATGCTGGTGAGTTTTGAACCAACAGATTCCAAACTACAGAAGCAGTAAAAAGCCAGTGAAACCCAGAAGAGTTGTTAAGTGAGACATCTTTAAAAAGCATCATGAGCAAATGTAGTTTCTTATTACTATGTGCTTAGCACACGCCAAGGAAAAGGGAGATAAAAAATGGACAGGGAAGAACCTGAGACTGAGCCACATTGAGAAGGGTTGAGAGCACCGTACCCATGGATTATTCATCTTTTAAGGGGAAAACTTTGTAACGAAGGGAAAAAATGCCACTAACACTAGCTTGACAAACAGCCCTGAGTACCCTGTTTTCCAGTGGTCACCAGAGCACAGAAAAGAATTCTGAAAAATATGCACGCTTGGAACAAAGGTTGGTTATAATGGAGATTTTATGAAAACATAAGATAAGAAAGAGCATCTGGGGCACATTCCTACCTTCAAGTATACTTAAAAGGAAATAGCATCTCCTTTATTACTTTATAAAAAACTCAAGGTACAAATTAAAAACATTTAAAACACACATTTCACCATGTAGGCTCTTTTCAACTTGATTTAGATACAGCAAAACTGAACTTTGTTCCTGTTAGACTCATTTCTAAAGCCTCAAACCTAAGATTTAGGCTATAGTAGTTTTGCTTCCAGAAGCTCAGGAGTAAACAAAACACTTCAATGCACTAATAAAACTGGTTTTGTAAACTTCTTACTGAAGTATCTGGCCTGAAACTAAGCATCCCTTTGAGAAGGAAAGCAGAGGAGCTGGTTGTATCTGCTCAGTTTCATTTGTAGAGTTAAAAAAAAGAAAATAAATCAGTTTACCTGCGAGGTACTCTACCAGAACCCCAGTGTGCAGGGACAGAGTAAGAAGATCCTTATCTGTTCTGCCCAGAAAGCAGAAGTTTCCTGCTAAGGAGGCGTATGCCCCATGGAGCACGGCCTCAATTCACCTCGTGGTGGTGTCAGCTGATGGTCCCCCTTTGAGACAACTGCTCTTTTTAAACAGCAGTTCTTACGTTTGCACCTCAAAACCCCCTATGGTAAGGAGAGCAGTGCGAACAAAGAAAATTAAGCCTTCAGCACACGTGTGCACTTCTCTACATCTTTTCTAAGAGACCCTCAAGGGGCTTTCCAGATATTCCTATCCATAACCTCTAGGCGCTCTCACATTTTAGGAAAGATGGTCAGATCCCCCGGTAGAAGCTGAAGTGCAGCTCCAGCCTCCCTCACGCAGCCAGGAGTTAACTCTGTCTTTATTATGAAAAAAGCCCAGGATCTACATCTACCATCACTACAGCCGTATCCTCCCCAAGCATCACCTACTGCTGGCTGCCAGCGCTGCAGCGAGAAGGGCACCGGCTCTGCCAAGAAGGAAAGGCCTGTCTGCACCGGGGCTCGCCGGGAACCGGGGAGCTTCCGGCAGGGAGGAGAACTGCTGGGCAACCCGAATGGGTCCAGCATTTAAAGTTTGATTAACCAGAAGGGAAAATTCTTCTCGTATCAGCAACAGCAGAAGCCAAGAAAAAGGAACTGTTGTTTCCCCTTGAGGTGGGGGTCAGAAAATGGACAGGTATGCAGAGCCCCCCGCCAGGCATCTCTTGGGTGCTGAGAGCAGCTGGGGACGCTTGGGTGAAGTAAAAGGAGTGAATAAAAGTATTTTTCATGCCAACAGCATTCTTTTTATTTGGGAAGAAAAGCTCCTATTGAGCAAGTCATATAATCTACTTAATAAAAGAAACTGACTGGGCTGAAGAAAATAGATGGGGCAAAGGAAAACAAAAGAGCAGTTCACACAGCCGGGGCGGTGAGTTCCCCTCTCACAAAGCGCCTGGGGATGAGTCTGCATGAAAGGTGCTACAGAAGTTGGCAGCAGAGCCTGCTCTATCTGCTCAGCACACTCTTTCTGACATTCTGCTCAAACTCAACCCTTTAAAGAAGCTGTTTAAACAAGCCTAACATTAAGCTGCAGATCCTCAGAACGAAAGCTTTGTTCTCCCTCAAGAGATCGGCCAGGTTGATTATTTATACTGAAGCAAACCCTCGCTGCGATTTAATCCAAGGCACAGCGCAGTCGATCGTGACATCAGTCGCAGGAGCAAGCCAGCCTGGTGCTGGTCCTCACTGCTCTTCCTAAAAAACAGAGCAGTCAGTTGGCACTGCCAAAAACCAAACTCTGCTTGATCCTCAGCTAAGGCAGCCCAGGGCTTGGCACTCCGTCAAGCGACCACCCCGAGCCCAAGAGTTGCTGCTGCTCCCCGTGAGGTACCAGCAAGGGACACGGGTGGCAGCAGGATTGCTCCTGGCAGGAACCGGGGGCACAGAGGTATTAGTACCCCTTTGCATTAACTACAGAAGAGAGGAAAACGAGAGAAGGCCCTCTTGCACCGTATCCCCCACTTAAAAGTAACTTGTATTTACGAAACGAATCCAAACAAACAGGTAGGGGTCCGTGGATTAAAGCTCTAGGCTTCAGGGAGACTAAAATATTAAGCTCTGACAGTCAAAGAACATTTCTTTTTTTTCTTTCCCAGCAACTATCTGAGCTCATTTTGAACATATTTATTCTCACACAGGATTGCATGTGTCAAGATGTCTCTGCAGCTAGACAGGGGAAAGTTTCACAGCAAAATCTAATGTAATGGTGTTAACGACCTTTTGGAATACATTTTCCAAAATCTCCTGAAGCAGTGCTATGCAAGATGGCATTTTCTCAGGGCTAAACACTACCTGATCAAGATGTATTAAGATAATTAACCTGAAGATGATAATTGGAAAAATTGCCAATAACCACCCACGTATTTACCAGATAAACAGATTTTTGCAGAGATTGTAAGCTGCTGTTCTTTTTCAACAGTTTGAATTGGGGCTGGAAGAACAATGATTCCCCTGACTTCTGAGCCTTTGTAAGGCTCTGGAACAGGAGCTGCAATTTATTATGTCTCTGTACAGCACCTAACTTAATGAGGCCCAATCTGGTAGTGATGTTTTAATGGTGCAGCAGCATAATGTTAGCAAGAGAAATGGAAAACAATTGGGTTTGTACCTCTGCTGTTTCTTTAGATGCTATAATGAAGAGGGACATGTGTAAACATGCTCGGAAGAAAGAAATACCTTTCAGTGTTTCACTATATGCTGTGCCGAAATAAATAAAGAATAACCTTTATCACAGAGTGTTTTGCCCAAGAGCAGTTTAGGAATAAAATCCATTTCCTTGCAGCAAGGGAGCAGAGGCCTGTTGTAAGAGTCCCTTTCTTGCTCCTCTTTCAACCGTATGACTCCAAGTCACTCAAAGCTATCTGATGAGGACTTTAAAAACAAAGATTTACTTTCCATTAGATTCACCTCGATTCTTCTGCTGTCTAGGGTCAACAACTGGGATCCCTACATCCCCCTCTGGGATATGTCTGAGTCCAAAATGCCTGCCTTGTATAGCACACCAATACCTTCTCTGAGCCCAAGAGTCAGCTCACCTACACCCACCAAGTGCCAGTCCAGTTCTGGATGCTCACATTGCCCCTGCTTCCTTACAAAGGAGCTGAAGAAATGAGTACAGATTTGCCCTTCTGCAGGTACAGTACCACCACCTTGAATATCTTTACTACATCTTGTTGCCCCATCAGTTTCTACTTTCGAATCTCTACATTTCTTTTGCTCCTTGCTGGTGCTTATGAAATCTACTGACCCACTGCTGCTAAATGAAACAGTGTTAAAATTAGCTGCAAAGTACAATGAAAAAAGCACCTTCATGCAAGTCATCCAGAAACTAAAAATTATACCAGGATATTTAAAGTTAGAAACAAGAGTCCCAACTTTTTCAAGCTGGCTGCAGGCTGAACCTGACACAAACACATCATGGCTGACCAGAAAACATATACTAAAAAAAAAAAAAAAAAAAAAAAAAGGCAGGAAGAACACACTCTCACGTTTAAAGTGAAGAACTTTCCCTGCACCTACTCAGGTAACACAAAAGGAGAGCTTTGAAATGAATTTTAAATAAGTGAATTGACAGGAGTCTCATCACTAATAGGTTAATTAGAAGAAGCCTTGACATTGCTGCTGCTGTTCAAGTCAGAAAACAGACACACAGCTCTGAACTCCCTCTCCAGGCTCTGGTCTGACATCTATTTTGGGTTTTAACTTGTTAGGAAACCAGTTTAGGAGCCACCCATACCATACCAGTACTGTGGAAGAAAGTCCTGCAAACCAGCTGCACGGTGAGGCAGATGCATGGGTCATTATTGATGGCTTTCGAGACTTAAAACCGATGCTGTGTATTCTCAGGCAACTGGCACATGCTTTTCCAGAGTCTAAATAACAAGTCGTTTAATGTGCAGTCTATCCTCCGACACCCAGCAGTTCACAGGTTACTTCCAAGAAGCCCACTGAAGGCAGCAAGTGCTAGAAAAGCAAGCCTTTCTCAAGGGGCTTTAATGTGCAGCAAAGTCCACTTTTCTGATGAAAAAATAAATATACGGGTCCACAGTCAGTGAGAAGGGATGCTGGAAAGCCAGTGCCTTAAGTAATGAGGACAAAAGAGGTCTCTCACATGAGGGTCTGACTCTACAAGCTCAGCACCGGCAATGTTTCATCTCTGTAATACCATCGCAGCTTTCTCCCTCGAGACGAGCAATTCCTTCCCTGTCTGCTCGGATAACCGCGCTGGCTGTGCGGTGGAGAACATATTTCCACTGGTCAACACCCAGTGAACTTTGCTTGCTGTTAAGAGAATTGACGTTTTACTTTACTCCTTTCGCAATAGCGATTTCCGGAGCATCTACTACTGGCAGCGGACGGCGTACCCAGGGAAAAAAAAACCCAAGCTGTCTGGCCAAGGAGCTGAAGGAGTTCAAGAATGCTTGTTGGACACTGTTTTTAATTTCCAGTTAGAGAAGTCTTTCTTGGAAAGTTGTAAGATGTAACTTATGGACCACGCAGAGTTTGCCTGATTTAACCGGGTAAATATTTTAAGCAGGTGTTAATAATAAAATCTGCCAGCCCAAGATTGCTCCCCACAGTGCTCTTTTGCTTTATTTCAGGCATGCAAACAAAGCCTACCTATAACCACCCTGTAACCACTGCTGCAGAGGCACCTTTTTTTTTTTCCCTTTTCCTTTTTTTTTTTTTTTTTTAAAAGGAAGGAGCAAGGCGGGTGGAGGGTATTTTCTACTCTGTTTACCAATGCAGACAGAGGTTCACAGTTCCCAAGCACTTCAGAAACGAGGATGTTTTTCCAACCTACCCTGAAATAAGCAGCTGTTAAGACCTCTTGTATAAAGCACAATAGTAAGGGCAGCCTGGCTGAGGAGGCACACGGAGCGTGCATCATGGCTGCTCAAGCAGCAAACAATTCACAGGGCTGGAGTCCCTGTTCCCTGTCATCCTGCACCCGGCTCCACAAACACAGCTCCCTCGCGCCCTTGAAGCTCACACCTTTCACCGGACAGCGCGAACAAAAACCTACAGCACATACTGAGCGGAAACAATAGCCAGCCATCCAGCGCCCAGTATCAAAGGCCGAGTTTCCAGGAGGTACGCACAGTCAATTGGCCCTTTCCTGTTTATTTATTTTTTAATAAACACCAGCTGTATATAAAATGCGAAGTGAAAGTCTGAGAACAGACGTGCGACGAGTCTTGGTTGGTCTTGCTTTGCCACTTATCACAGAAAAGCTGAAACACCTTCCTAAGGCTGGATTTTACTTTAGGTTGAAATAAAGCACAGCCACTCTCCCCTAAAGCATTTTTGTATTGCCAGATTCAATAGGACTCACAAATACACCCCTAACCTACTGCCCTAGTGGGGTTTAAAGCCATTTTCTGTAGCTAACAAGTCCGGATCTGCACGCACAAAGTTATTACCTTCTGACAGTCGGTTGGTAATACATAACACAAACGGCAAGAGGATTGGGGAGGAGAAAAATGTTTCAGTGCGGTTCCTGTTGGAACAGGTACCTGCATTACACAAGCAGCAATCGCCCTCGATAGCCAGAGAGATGGACTGTGCCGCTGGAGAGGCCACTGCCACCAGCCTGTCCTCTGTCCCTGCCAACAGATGCTCAGAGATGCTTCGAGCCTATCCAGCTCTGGAGAAAAGACGGTCGATCTCCTCAAAAGCATGGAGCTGATACCCCTCGCTTTTCCCTCAGAAGCGGCAGTGGTTGCACCCCCCATCCCAGATAAAGAAAAAGGATCGCCACAGAACAAACAACCAAAACAAAGAGTTCTCCCTCACTCACCTCCCTCCAAACAAATATTTACAGTTGTTACAATCCAGAGGTACAGGGTTTTAGAAAGGTTTATTGAAAAAAAAAAAAAAAAACCAAACAAACCCAACCCCATTGATTCCAAGAGGTTCTATATAAAGCACACACTGCAATTCCTGGTGCACGGGGGGGGCTGCCGAATCCCCCACCCTCGGTGACAAAACGGGCCTATGCAAAGTGGCCACAAACTCCCAAGGCCTGACCGAGGCTCAGCAACAACATGGTGCCACTTCCCACCCCGAGGCTAAGCCGCTCTCCCAGCGCCTGCCCCACGCTTCCCAGGGTGGCAGAACACCCCCGGTGACGCACGGGTCCGGGCCCCCAACACACAGAGACACCCCCCCCCTAGTTCTTCACTCCATGAAAAGCCCATAAATTTCAGGTTTCTTCGTTATCTCCCCAGGACAGGCTGGAAGACTCCCAGTCCCTTTCCCAGCCAAAGCCAAGGCGAGTGTGTGCCTCCTGAGAGCATCCCCCAGCACTGCGGGTCTCCCCGCACTCTGGCCCCCGTCCCCAATCACTGCTCCTCCATCCATCCATCCCCTCTGGGGAGGGGGCCCCCCCCCCCCCAAACTCCAGGGTCCCCTTCACAAACACCCCAACAAATGCTCTCCAAGCCAGGCTCGACCCCCACCCTGAGGGCTTGGTGCTACCCAAACCTACACGATGCCCTTGATGCCTCCAGAGACACCCCCCCCCCCCCAGGGAATCCCCCCCCCCCCCTTCTCCCCCACCGAAACACCCTCCTCTGCTCCCCCAGGGCCCACCCTGCCCACAGCCACCCCCACCCATCCCCCCAGGGCCGCCTGCCCCCGCCTCCACCCCCTCAGGGCCCTCCCCGCAGCCAAAAGGAAACCTCCAAACCCCCAGCCCTCTCGCACCCCCTTCCCCAAATCTCACCCCAGGCCTCAACGTGCCCCCCCCCCCCCCCCCGCCGTCCCCCCCTTTCCCCGGGCCGACCTCAGCCCCGGGCTCGCCCCTGGCCGCCTCAGCCCCCCCCGAATCGCCTCCCCCCTCGGTTCTCCTCATCGATCCGCGCTTCCCCTCACGATTCCCCCCCCGTTCCCCTCAGCACCCCCCCCCCCCCACCCCTTCAGTTCCCCTCACAGCGCCGGGCGGGGGCGGGGCGGCGCGCCGCCATGTTGTGCCCGGTGCGGGCCCGGGCCCGGGGAACCGCCACTTACCGCGGGCCCCGCCGAGAGCCCCGGCCAGCAGCAGGGCGAACAGGCCGGTGGCGGTGGCGAGCGGCGGCGGGGGGGGGCGGCGGGCGAGGGGCGGCGGCGGGGGGGCGGCCATGGCGAGCGCCGCGGCCTCGGTGGCGAGCGGCCCCAGCGCCTGCGGGAGGGGCGAGCGCCGGCGCGCGGCCGGGGGGGGGGGGGGGGGGGGCGGGGCAAGCCTTAAAGGGGACGGCCCGAGCCGCGCGACTTAAAGGGGAGGGCCCGGCAGGCGCGGTTCGGCCGACGCGGAACTGGGTTGTAGAGGAGGGGGAGCGTGGAGCCGTGTCATGCGTGGTGTGCGTGTGCACGGCTGCGCACCACCGGGAGGGGTGTGCGCAGTGTGCACGCGTGGGGGTTGGGGGGGGGGGTGTGGGATGGGCGGGTGTGCGCGGTGTGTGCGGGGCACGTGCAGTGCGTCCGACTGCCGCGCGTCGTGGGTGCGCAGGGTGAGCGTGCAGTGTCAGGGTGCAGCGTGGGTGCGGTCTCGGAGTGCAGTGCGTGTGCGCAGTGTCTGTGCAGTGTCGGGGTGCAGCGTGGGTGCAGTGTCAGGGTGCAGTGGGTGCAGTGTATATGCGCTATGGGCGCAGTGTAGGTGCAGTGTCGGGGTGCAGTGTGTATGCGCTATGGGTGCAGTGTCGGGGTGCAGTGGGTGCAGTGTTGGGGTGCAGTGTGTGTGCACTATGGGTGCAGTGTCGGGGTGCAGTGTGTATGCGCTATGGGTGCAGTGTCGGGGTGCAGTGGGTGCAGTGTCGGGGTGCAGTGTGTGTGCACTATGGGTGCAGTGTCGGGGTGCAGTGTGTATGCGCTATGGGTGCAGTGTCGGGGTGCAGTGGGTGCAGTGTTGGGGTGCAGTGTGTGTGCACTATGGGTGCAGTGTCGGGATGCAGTGTGTATGCGCTATGGGTGCAGTGTCGGGGTACAGTGGGTGCAGTGTTGGGGTGCAGTGTGTGTGCACTATGGGTGCAGTGTCGGGGTGCAGTGTGTATGCGCTATGGGTGCAGTGTCGGGGTGCAGTGGGTGCAGTGTTGGGGTGCAGTGTGTGTGCACTATGGGTGCAGTGTCGGGGTGCAGTGTGTATGCGCTATGGGTGCAGTGTCGGGGTGCAGTGGGTGCAGTGTCGGGGTGCAGTGTGTGTGCACTATGGGTGCAGTGTCGGGGTGCAGTGTGTATGCGCTATGGGTGCAGTGTCGGGGTGCAGTGGGTGCAGTGTTGGGGTGCAGTGTGTGTGCACTATGGGTGCAGTGTCGGGATGCAGTGTGTATGCGCTATGGGTGCAGTGTCGGGGTACAGTGGGTGCAGTGTTGGGGTGCAGTGTGTGTGCACTATGTGTGCAGTGTCGGGGTGCAGTGTGTATGCGCTATGGGTGCAGTGTCGGGGTGCAGTGGGTGCAGTGTTGGGGTGCAGTGTGTGTGCACTATGGGTGCAGTGTCGGGATGCAGTGTGTATGCGCTATGGGTGCAGTGTCGGGGTGCAGTGGGTGCAGTGTTGGGGTGCAGTGTGTGTGCACTATGGGTGCAGTGTCGGGATGCAGTGTGTATGCGCTATGGGTGCAGTGTCGGGGTGCAGTGGATGCAGTGTTGGGGTGCAGTGTGTATGCGCTATGGGTGCAGTGTCGGGGTGCAGTGGGTGCAGTGTTGGGGTGCAGTGTGTGTGCACTATGGGTGCAGTGTCGGGGTGCAGTGTGGGTGCAGTGTGAGGCAGGCAGTGCAGGCGGGGGCTGTGAGCCCCAGGCCTGGGGCAGCTGGTGCAGGGTGGGGACTCAGCTGTGCCTGGGAAGGTCACCCCAAACCCTGGGCAGGGCACTCTCAGCCCCAGACTGAGCCCTGGGCAAGGCACCCCAAACCCTGAGCAAGACACCCTGAGCCCTGGCTGAGCACCCCAAGCTTCAGGCTGAGCACCCCGGGCTCCAGGCTGAGCACCCTGCACCCTGGGCAGGATACCCCAAACCCCGGGCTGAGCGCCCTGGGCAGGACCCCAAACTCTGAGCTGAGCACCCCAAACCCTGCCCTTGCTCAGCCCTACATACCCCCCACACCACTGCCAGCCCCGCCAAGGAGCAGCACCTGCCCTTTGCTGACCAGTTTCTCCCAGTCCCTAACTGGGAGCAGGGCACAAGGGCAGAACAAGCTGCGCCCAGGGGAGTCGCAGCGACGTGCCGGGAATGCACAGGGACCGAAGCCCCCCCACAGCCGCGCTCTCCCGTGCAGCTCCCCTTTCATCCCAGGGGTCTTTGCCCTCACCCCTGGCCCCGCCGCAGTGCAAACCCCCCAAAATGAGGGGGGGGCTGGCAGCCACAGCCCCCCCCCCCCGGTGCAGCCCCAGCCCCTCCAGGGCGCAGGGAGAGGGTTGGCTTGAGGCTGGAGCGAGGTTTATTGTGGGATCCGGCGGTGCCGGAGCGATACACAACAGCTACATGGTGGTGAAGCAATAAATTAAGCCATGCAGAAGCGCTGGGGTCTCATCCTGCCACATCGCAGGTTTGGTGGCTGTTAAGCGATAAAATAGCTTTACACTTTATTTAAATATATTAAATCTTAATAATTAAATAATTATGGAATAGAGCGCAGAGCTGGTTCTCCTGAACATCCCGGACTCATCCTTACAGCCCTGAACGTGGGGTGGTTTTGGGGCTGAGGGCGAGTGGTGTGGGGTAGGTCACGGGGCACACCAAAACATCCCAGAAAACACCAAAATGTTGGCAAAGAGCAAAAGGGCTTGGAAAAGGGGTGGCTGGAAGGATCAGGGCCCTGCGGCTGCAGGAGTCCTCGTCTCGGTGGGTCCCTGCGGCACAGGGGATACTCGGGCCCCGCTCGGTGCTGGCAGTTCCTCATCCTGGGGGGTCCCCGAGATGTGCCAGGGTGTGGATCTGGCCTGGTTGGGGGGGCACGCTGCCCCCAGCCCATCCTTCCCCAGTGAAATCCAGACCTCCTCGGGCGAGAGGCGTGCCGGGCACCGCCGGGGAATTCCTGCCGCTGAGCCCGTGGCATCGCTGCTGCCAATGCGCCGGGCAGGCAGGTTTGGGCAGCAAACCTCTGCCTGCGTGCTGCGTTGGGTGCCAGCGATGGGATGGGTGCCCGGCTGGGCTTGGGGGCTGTGGCAGGGGACGGTGCTGGCTTTGGCACCTGCTCCCCCCTCAGCCACGCTGGCTGGGGGGGCTGCTGCCATCCCTGCCGGGCAGGCGAGACGGGCTAGCGTCAGATGGCGGATCCAGGGCGGGTATTTTTATAACCAGGAAGATTCTTCCCTCTTTTTTTTTTTTTTTTTTTTTTTCTGTTCTTCCTATTTTTTCCCTCCTTGCAAATTAAAAAGGCTCCAAGGAGAGGTGGGAAAGGCGGGGGCTGCAAGCAACCCCCCCCTCTGTGACTAGGAGCCATCCCAGCGTTGGCTTCGCTGCTGTTCCCGGTGCAGCCCATGAGCAGCTCTGGTGCGTGCCCGGCGCTCACTGCTCCGGTTTGGGTTTTTCCAGGGAATTGTTCAGCTTCTTCAGCGTCTTTTTAATCCGCAGGGCGGTGAGGCGGGCCGAGGGGCTCTGGTACCAGCACTCTTTCATGATCTTCGCCAGGGCTGACAAAACCTTTTGGGGGGGACACACAAAAAAGTGGGGAAAATTGAAGGGTTTCATGGGGAGCAAAGGTCCGGCTTGGGGTGGGAGGGGGGAAGCCCTCCCCTGGGACTCACTGGCTCAGAGAAGAGGCGGTTGGGGACCACGGGGGTCTGCTGGTCGACACAAACCACCTTCTTCATGTCCTCGAAGCTGGGGTCGCTGGGGACGGCGTCGAAGAAGGGCGGCCGATATTCCTCCACGATGCCTGTGGGAGAGGGGGTGGCGTGAGGGTGGGGGGGTGTGAGGTTAACCCCCCCACCCTGCACATCAAGAGGTGCCTGGGGGGGGGCTGGCACAACCAACCTGCACCTTGCCTTGGGAGGGCACGTGGGGGCCTGGGAATTACAGGTGTGATTTGCCCCAAAATTTGCACTGCGGGACCTCACCGGGGTGTCTGGGACCGGCTCCAGCACCGGCACCAGTTCGTGGCACTGCTGCCACCTCGCAGCCCCCCACCTCCATCCGGCAGCCCCATGGCAAGCTGGCCAGCTGACCCAGCTAATCTCCAGTTAGTGCCTCCATATGTCTGTGTGTCCGTGGGGTTTAACCCCTCTGAGCACCCACCAGCTCCCTGCACCCTGGTGGCTTGGCCCCTGGACCTTGGGGGTCCCTGGAACCCCTGTCCCCAATGCCCTGGGGGCGTGCAGGGGCCTGTCCTGGAGGGTGAGGGTGCCTGGAAGGGTTAAAACCATCCGGCTGAAGGTCATCCCCCGCACATGGCCTTGATAATTCGGAGTAAATGTTTAATCTGAAGGAGCCCCGGGGCAGTAAATGAGATTATCCCAGCCAGACTGCGCCTCGGGGGGGACCTCCTGCCTCACCCACCAGCACCCACTATTTAATTAATGCTTCTAATGAACTTTGCCAGTGGTGAGCGGCGCTGGCTGGGCAGCTCCAAGGAGGCTCCTCCATACCACGGGGGACCCCGTCCCTGTCCCCATCCCCGTCCCCCCAAACCAAGCTCCGCCGGCCGGAGGTCCCGGCCGTGGCCGGCTTCCAGGCAGCGCTCCACGCTGCTTGTTTTCTAATCAGCGCTGAACAAACAAAGCGCTGATTGAGTCTAATGGGCCCTTTAATCAGGGAGCCGGGTGCTGACACTAGATTACAGTGTTTATAATTTACAGCTAATCTTCTGGGTGAAGGGAAAGGAAAAAAAAAAAAAAAAAAGAAAAAAGCAGCAAAAAGGAGGGAGCGGAGTCTCGCCGCGAGCTGGGAGCCGCTCACCATTCACCACCGTCCGCCGGGTGATCTCCCAGAGCACCAGCCCGTACGCCCAAATGTCCGTCTTCTTGTAAGACTCGAAGCAGTCGGTGCGGATCTGCTCGCTGAGCACCTCCGGGGCCATGTAGCGCTTGGTGCCCACCCGGGGGTTGTTGCCGATGTCCAGGTAGTCGCTGCCTTGGGAGTGCATGACGGCCAGCCCTGCAGGGTGCCGGCCCCGGTCAGTACTGTGCTGGTGCTGCAACCCCAGGATGCTGCAGCCCTGGGGTACTGCAGTCCTGGGGTACCACACCCCTGGAGTACTGCATCCCTTGGGTACCGCATCCTTGGGATACCACATCCCTGGGGTACTGCACACCTAGAGTACTGCATGCCTGGGGTACCACATCCCTGGGGTACTGCACCCCTAGAGTACTGCATGCCTGGGGTACCACATCCTTGGGGTACCATATCTCTGGGATACCACACCCCTGGAGTACTGCATCCCTTGGGTACTGCATCCTTGGGGTACCACATCTATGGGGACACAACATCCTTGGGGTACCACATCCCTCGAGTACTGCATCCCTGGGGTACCTCATCCTCAGGGTACCACATCATTGGGGTACCATATCCCTGGTGTACCGCATTCCTGAGGTACTGCATCCTTGGAGTACCGCATCATTGGGGCACAACATCCTTGGGGTACCACATCACTGGGATACAACATCCCCGGGGTTCTGCATCTCTGGAGTATCACATCCCTGGGGTACCACATCCCCGGGGTACCACGTCCCCGGGGTTCCGCATCCCACCCCCATCTCACCCAGGTCTGCGATGCAGCACTGCCGGTTGCTTTTCACCAAGATGTTCCTGCTCTTCAGGTCTCGGTGGGCGATGGCAGGCTTGCCCTGGGTGCCAAAGATCTCCACGTGGAGGTGGACGAGGCCACAGATGATGGAGGAGGCCAACCCCAGGCAGGTCTCCACGTCCAAGGTCGTTCTCTGCAGGAAGTCATAGAGCGAGCCGTTCTCATGGTAATGGGTGATGAGCCAGAGCTGGGTGCTGGAGTTCCTCGATGTCATGTCGGAGGCGATGAAGCCTGGAGGGGTAGAAGAGCTGGGACCGTGGAGCCACCGTTCAGCTGCCCCCCGGCCCCCCCCAGAACTCCCACTCACCCAGGATGTTGTCGTGCCGCAGGAGGACGGTGTTGTAGATCTCCGTCTCGCGGAACCACGACTGCTCATCCCGTGAGGAGAAGATCTTCACGGCCACGCTCTCACCATGCCACACACCTCGCCACACCTCGCCGTAACGTCCTTTGCCTGCCATGGCCACGGCACCGCGTCACGCGGTGCCCCCCCCCCCAGCCCCCTCCCCACCCCCAGCATGACGAACTCAGCTCCCGGTGTGGAAGAGCAAAGGAGAGGCGCAAGGTCCGTTGACCTTGGCCAACTGCCACCCAACCACCCAGCCGCTCTCTCCCTCCCCCACCAGCAGGACAGGGGAGAACTTGGGGTCTCTACGGGGTTTTGGCAGAGATGATCAAGTCCAACCCCCCCGGTTCTGGGTCTGGCGGAGTGGTGCCATTGCCGGATACTGGGGAAAAGGGGTCTGGCATGTGCCCACGCATGGGGGGCTAGGGCAGCCTCCCCCTGCACGCGGCCGCTCTCCTTACCCACGCACTCCACGAGGGTGATCTGCCGAGCCACTGTCCGCTGGACGAGGAAGGGCAGCCCCGAGCCGCTGCCCGTGGTGCAGTCATCGTTCAGCAAGTCCTGCGCAACCGGGGCGGCAGTGGGGTCAGGCCGGTGGTCACCCCGCTCCTGGTGCACCCCTCCCTCCCACACCTTGGGGACATTCAGGGTGTCCCCCCCAGCCCCGAGCTCATCCACCTCTAAAGTGCTGTCTCCCACCATGGACGCCTTCAGCATGAGGTCCATGTCCCCCAGGTCGCTTTTCTTGTGGCGGTGCTGGGCCACCTTCCAGCAGAAGAGCGCCGTGAGTGCCGCGAGGACGAGGAGGGTGAGCAGCGGGACGAAGATCATCAGGAGGAGGTTGGGCAGGGAAGGTGCCTTTCCCAGCTCGTCTTCTCCTGGGTGGGGGAAACAATGGATGGAAGTGTGAAGGTGGATCTGGGAGGGTGGAGGTCTTGGTCCTGGGGAAGGTGGCTCTGCATTGGGGTCAACCCCATGGATGGCAGCTCTGCCCAAGAAGGGTCACCTGAGGACATCCCACCTGGGAAAAGTTGACCCTTGAGGTGCTGAGTGAGGACAGGGATGATCTTGAGACCCAAGCACATCACCAGCCACGTGGGCAGCTCTGCCCCTCTCCCCCTGGCTCCTCGAAGGGGACCGTGCCCCCCGTTACCTTGCAGGAAGATCTCCAGCTCGGCGTTGCACATGCTGGAGTTGCAGCACTTCGTGCCGTACTGCTCCATCACGGGCGTGCGGCAGTTCTCCAGGATGTTCTGGGAGAAGCAGCCCCGGTGCTGGGTGACGGTCCCCTCCTCCTTCCTCTTGCTGACGAAGCACACCTTCCCCGTGCAGGTGGGCAGGCTGCAGTGCGGCACGTCGCAGGCGCACAGCAGCTCGTCTGCGGGCATGAGGAGGGGCACATTGGTGGCTTTGGGGACAGCGACATCTGTCCTAAAGACTCTCAAACCAAATCTCGAGAGTGGGCAGCCACGCTCTGGGCTGGGGAAGGCGGCTGTGGGTGCTCAGCACAGGGAAGACCGGCCCGAGACCTGGAAAATCGCTTGCTTCCAGCTGGGACCCAAGCTCTAGCCTCAAATCTGGGGGGGTCTCCTGTCCCTGCACCCCCAGGAAGGAAGCAGAGGGGCTGTGCATCCAGCCCCACCAGCTGGGATTAACTGGGATGCACTGGTTCACAGCACACAGGGTCACATCCTGCCTGCTGCATCCCAGGGGACATGGGAGCGCCCTGCTCCAGGTCCTGGGAGCCAGGATGGGCCCAAAAGCCTCAAACTCAGCCGGTGCCTCCCCAGTGGGTGCTGTGGGGATGCTGCATTTCGGGACCGGGTGCCAAACCCGGGGTCCTTCCCCGAAGACGCTTCCCCGCGCCGCGGTGGCGGAGCAGCGCAGAGGGCAGCCGCGCTCCCAACCTCCCGATTTAGCTCTGCCCTTTCGCGCAGAAAATATCCCTCCTGGAATCAGCGAGTTCAGCGCGAGGGCAGCCAGCCAGACGGTGGCGAGGGGACAGACAGACCGACGGCGGCGAGGGGATGGAGGGCTGTGGCCAGCCCCCCTCCTGTGCCTGTCACCACCCTGCCCCAAGGGCTGCCCGGTGCCAGGGCTGTGGGGCCGGCTTGGTAAGCCCTGGGGGTTGGTGGCCCCGTGGGCAGGACAGGGACCCGGTGGGGACTCATCCCCCGTGAGCTCTGCTGCTCCTCCCTGGCACGGCCGCCCCGCTTTGGTCCCCCCTGCACAAGCCCCCAACCTGGATCCGTCCCCAGGTCACCCCGATGCTCCCCTGGGCATCACAAGCAGCTCATCCCTGCTCCCCGCCATCAGCACCATCACCCCTGGGAAAAACCACGTTTTAAATCGTGTGCACGCAAGCCTTTTCCCCGTACCCCTCCAGTGATGCCAAAGCACTTGATGAACCGTAATTAATTAAGCTGAGATCCTCTCTGGGAGGCAGGTCACAGTCCCAAAGGGGAGAAGCCCTTCGCTGGGGATGGTGTGGGTCCCCGAGGAGCCCTGCCTCCCTCCACTCTGACTCCAGGCGGTTTATTTTGAGCAGAGCAAGCGTTGACATTCCCAAAGAGCCGAGGGTTTATTTTAACACCCCCCCCCCAGCATGTGGCAGGGAGAGGCCGGTGTTTTTTTGGTACTCACCGGCTGCGAAGCCGAGGGAGAGGGTCATCAGCGCCAGCACTGTCCGGCTGCAGGCTCCGCACAGCATCTTCCTGTGGAGAGCAGAGAGGGGGTGAGAGGCAGCCCCCCCTCAGCCTCCTGCACCCCCCCCTGCAGCCCCCAGCCCCCTGAGGAGCTTTGGGAAGGGACTGGGGGGGCCGTGGGGGAGCGATGGAGGCGGGTGGGGAGGGCGAGGGCGGGCGGAGCAGTGCGGGGTAGGACGTGCTGCTTCCCAGCGGAGCTCGGCTCCGGACGTCCCGGGTACAGCCCTTCCTGAGAACAGATTCCCGGGACCTCCGGAGCTTGGGGGACCTCCCAATCGTGGAGTGGGACACCACACACAGCCCCCCGGTGCTTGGGAACTCTCTGGAACGGGGATCTCCCCGTGTCCATGCTGCTCCAACAATCTTTCCTTTCTCCCAGCCATCTGTATTCTGGCATTTCCCACCGTTCCCGTGGCTCCCGTGCTGCAAAATCGCAGCCGGTGCCAGACCCGACGGGCTGTGGCGAGTGCGGTGATGCCGTGGCACCCGGATTTGGCAAGACCCATCCCACAGGATGGAGCTGAAAGCCCCCACGCCGCATCGCTCACCGGCACCGGAGCTGCCGGGCGCAGCTGGCCACGGCGCGGGGCTTGATCCCGGGGGGCTTTTGTGCGGAGTTTATCAATGACACAAGCAGAGGTGCTGAGGGCAGCCAAAAATTCCCCAGCTGTGCCTTTGGGGGAAGTTTTGTTATTTTTTCTTCCTTTTTTTTTTTTTTTTTTTTTTTTTTTTTTTTTTCTTGTAAAAGAGACATTCCTGCCAAGCCAAACACAGCGGAGCTGGCGCTGCCCCCCGCCCTGCTGACATCGCTGCCCCTTTCACAGGGCCGAGAGCTCAGCTGGGGCTCCCCAGCCCCTCCTCGGCTTATTCTTCATGGTTCCCGACATAAACACGCCGAAGTCTCCGTTTCCTGCAATTGAAGGAGCCCTGCCCAGGGCTGCCGGGACAGGAATCAAGATTGTTTAGATTCTGGCCTTGATGGGGAAGCGAAGTCACGCAAGTCCGGCCCTCGAGAGCACACATGGACGTGGCTGACCCAGGCAGGCTCCGGCTGTGGTGTAAAACGGGCTTTTCCTCCCCAAAATAGCTCCTTGGCTGTTATTCGTGGGGAGGAAACAGCCGTCGGGTCCGGGGGCTGGAGGGCAGGACTGAGTCTGGTCCTGGGTGCCCCGTGCTGGGAGCGATGCCCGCGATGATCTTGGGCTGATGCACCAGCCAGTCCCTCGGCTGACCCAGGATCAGCTTCATTTTGAAAAATAAACTCCCTGGGAGTTGAGCGGATGCTCCCCGATCCTCCAGGATGCTCCCAGGCATAGTGCTTCTCCTTGTAATCCTGACAGCTACAAAAAGCAGCCTTTTAAATGGAAACTGAGGCTCCCAGGTGGTGAATTCTCTCCTTAGAGGCACTTCCATAAATTCCCGAGCGGTATATTTGCCATAAAAGACAAAGCGGTCAGGGCCTCACCCAAAACTTTGCTGTACACGCAAACAACATCACGTGGATTGTTGGTGTTACCTGAGAGCAAACCTGAACCCAGAGCCATCCCTGGCATCCCACAGGAAAATCATCCCGGGTGCTTCTTTAAAGGGTCAAACCAGCCCTTGTGGTCCCCATCCCTGTCCCCAAACTTCCTCCCTCCTTCCTCGCGCTGGAGCTGCAGCTCACGCACCCTCCCGGCGTCCGGAGCATCTTCCCCAGCCTGGCTGGGGGGTGATGGCGAGTCACGTTGCTGTGTTACATCCTTCCGTCCTTTGGGATTTGCAGCAGCTTCAGGAGAAGGAAAAAATCCCAGTGAAGACCTCCCGGATGGGGCACAGGTGCCGGCAGAAGTGGCTGGGAGCCCTAAGCAGCCATGCCGGGTCCGGAGCAAGACACAGCCTCGGGGAAGGGGGATTTCCCTGTGATCCCCCGGAGAGAAAAGTGAAGGGGCTGTTGCGGGGAGATGGAGCGGGATGTGGTGGAAGCCCAGGGAAGGGGGTGGCCTGGGTGCAGTTCTTGGGGACAGGAGAGATGGACAGAGGATCCCTGGCTCTTACCAGGGCGACTCGGCGGAGCTTCAGAATCCCGGTGCTTCCGCCCTCCCCTGCGGTTTCTGCTGCTCCCAGCGGGGTTTCACTGCAGGATGCGGCTCGTGACTCAGTTCCCCTCTGTCGCCTTTTCGCAGGGAGCCAGACACGGTGGGGACCCTCGTGCTGGTGCCGCGGATTCCCAAGGCTTCAGCCTGGTTTCAGGCAAGAGATGGAGGTTTTCCTCCTCCCTCCCCACAGCTGCGGGTTGGTCAGGCACGCAGCAAAGCTTTTTTGCATCCTCCGGTGCAGCCCGGAGCGGGAGAGACATTCAGCTCCGGGACCCCCGTGGTGGGGGTCTGCGCCGCCCCGGCCCCCCTTTTACCGATGGGCATCGCTGTGCCGCAAACGAGAGACGCGCAAAGGGAACGGTGAAACCAGCTCCCGGTAATGGCTGCGGGGGGTTGGCATCACACGGGGCTCCTCGCGCCGAGTGGGGACGAGGGGGGAAATGTTCCTGCCCCCCGACCTCGCGGCAAGGTTCGAACGCCGGCGGCGGGGCAGAGCTCCCCCGGCACGGCTCCCACCAGCTTCGCTTCAGGCACTTTGCTCGGAAAACCGAGGCGCTTCAGCGGCCATTTGGCTCTTTGTTGCTCACCCCTCCGCCGAGGGGCCCGGCGTTTGGTTTTGCAGAAGGGGTGCGTGGAGGCGGCGCGTCCTGCGGCATTGCTGCCGCCGGTGCCCCGCCGCCCTCGCTCCAGGCCCCAGCTACCAGAGCTGTCAACTTTCCCTCATTTCTCCCCATGCCTTTTCAAAATACACTCAAATTCCCCGTTTCCCATGTCAGCTCCGGGTTTTCGGTAGCAGCCATGTATTATTTCATCTCTTTAGCAAGGACCTGGGGACAGATCCTGCTCCTACTGCACCAGTGTAAATCCAGATTAATGCTCCTGCCTCCACCAGAGCCCGAATTCCAGCCTCTGTTAACCCTGATGTCAACCTCGGTGTCCCACCAAACGTGAAGGAAATGGGGCCAAATCCTAATTTCAGCTCTACGGGGGGGTAAATCAGAAGGGAAGCACTGAGCTCGGCGCAGCCCCGGACCCTGCAAACACACGGCGCTTCCCCACTCACCTACAGCATCCGTGGCCTGCGGGCGCCCGTGGCACTGCCTGGCCCCGGCGAGGCTCTCCCGGCCGCGGTGCCCGGCTCAGCCGGGGCAGCTCTGCTCCGTGCCGTGCGTCCCGCTTTGGAGGAGCTTCATGGGTCTGCTCCCCTCCCGCCACCCGTCCCAGCACCGCGGGGGCTCCCGCAGCCGCAGCGTTGCCCGTCCCGCCCGGGGAAAGTCTCCGTCCCCGTCCCGGCAGCCCCGTTGTCCGAACTCAGGCGCTTGGCAAGCGCTCTGTGGTCTGGATGTGGGAGAAGTCAAAAAAATGTTTCTTATTACTGCCTCTTCCTGCCTGGCTTCTCTCCACCACTCCCAGCTAATAAAGCATTTCCTATTGCTGAGCACACAGCCACGGCCGGGCTCCCTTCCTCCCGCACACCGGGCCCCAGCTCCATCCTGGTTGCTCTCCCTTGGCCTGTTCCTCCCGCCCTGTCCTTCGCTGGGCGCTTTCCCCCCCAATTTCTCAGTTTTCAAGGTCAACCCAAGCTCTCAGAGGGGGGACAACCATCCCGTTGCCTTCCCTGAGCACCTAAAAGCCTTTGGCAGAAACACAGCTGGTTGCTTTGACAGTGCTGGAGGTGGGAACGGTCTGGAGAGATGCCGTGGGAATGACCTTGACCTGCTCAGCCATCCCTCCTGCTCCAGCATCCAACCCTTATGGGGATGGGAGCACCACGGCAGAGCCAAGGGGCTCCCCGGTTATTCGGCGCTGGCCATGACACTTTCGGGGTGCTGCGTTGGAGGGCAGGGAATGTTTTCTCCCATGGGGTGCAACGTGGCATCGGGGATGCTGCCGAATGGTCACCCCATTAGGGATGCTCTGCGTTGGCTGTGGGCAAGGAGCAGGGCTGGGGGGGTTTCCTCGGTGCCCACTGCCGGTGTGTCTCCCCCCCCCCCCCCCAGCACTCTGGATGCCGCTGCAGGCGCTGGGATCCCGCCGGCGAGGCCGTTCCCACGGCGGGAGGTTGGGCACTTCCCTCTCCCCCAGGACACACGGGGCTGCGGAAGCGACGCTTCCCCTTTTGCCGGTTCGGGGTTGTTCTTTGGGCCACCCCACTCTCAGCAGCTTCGCGCTTCTTCCGTCCCCCTCCTCGCCCTCCGGCCCCATCCCTGCTTTCCTCCCGGCTGCTCGCCCCGGCACGGCGACCCGCGCCCGTGGGCAGGCAGAGGCAGCCGGCAGCACACGGACGGGCATTGCAGCCTCTTTCCTAAGAAAGTTACGGGGCCTGATTCACCTCGCCGTTCCCCATTGCAACACCAGCCCCAATTGCATCATGAACCCAACCGGCACCCGGAGCCGCTCCGTGCCCAAGGAGCGCGGCGGCAAAGCTTTGAGTCTCGCCGGCCGCCTCTCCCCAAGTTATCGCCCACGATCTAGGAAGTTTAAACAAACAAAAATACAAAACCAGGATAAAACACGAGGGACCTTCACGCGTGACCTTGCCCGCGCCGGGGCCGGGAGCTTTGCAGAGCCGGCGCGGGGGAAACGGGCAGTTTCCATCAGATAGGAGCCGCCCGGGAGGAAGCCGGTGCCTGCAGACGCGTTATCGCCGTGACCATCTTTGCTCCGGCGCGCGGGTCGTGGTGATCTGACCGGCGATCGGCCCCTCCCAGGGTTATTCCTGGATGGCTCCTGTGTCCCCGCTGCCTTCCACGGGTGCAGGCCGGCGGCGGGGATAGGCACCCCGCTTTTACAGCTGCAGGCAGGAGTTTCCCTGGGCAGCCGAGCACGCCGGCTCTCCGGCGAGGGCTGCTTGCGCTTTCATCTCCTGAATGGGGCAGCTTCATTTTTTAAACCATAATTATCACTGAAGGGGGGGGATAAATGTTTCCTTAAAAACTTCTGAAGGTTACCAAGATCTAATCCTGGGCAACTTGAAGGGTGGGAGCCCCGGGCTGGGCTGCGGCTCCGGCACTGCCGCCATGGGAAAACAAATAATTCCGGAGCTGGGACTGATCCTAAAGGAACGTGAATGAACCAAACCCACCCCAGGCGCTCCCAGCCCCCAATTGGGGCAGCTGGGGTGAATCAGCAGGGATGGGCGCCCGCCTCAGCACCCGGCTGAGCACCGGGACTCGCGGGCCCACACCGGCCCTGCCCGCCGTGGCGCAACCTTCCGCCACCCCCTCGAAGCCGCCGCGAGACTTTCCGTCACCGTTTGGGAGCTCGCTGCCACCCGCCGTGACTTCACCCTGCGGAAGGGTGCGGGTATCAGTGATTGGGGGGGGGGGGGGGGGCCCAGGGGGTCCTGCTCTCCCTTCCCCCTGCGCGGCAGGAGCCAGGCTGGCGCGGGGTGTGCGATGGCAGCTCCATGTGCCGTCCGCCCCCGACTCATCTGCGAGCCGCCGCCGGGAGCTGGCGAAGGAGGGCAGGCACGTGCCGGCGAGCCTGCCGCGAGCCAAGGGCTGGAGGGGAACAGACGGGGAGGTTGCGGCTCCTTCCCAACGAGCAGCCTTCCCTCCCTGCCTGCGACTCGGCCCAAACCTCCCCGTGCCCCTCAAAAGGCAGAACTCCAGCCTAAATGCGGGGAGCGGGGCTTTTGTGCCCCTAAAGAAGGGGGCGGTGAGGGGAGGGGGTTCCATCCTGGTCTACGTGCCTGGCTGAGGGTTATTCATCACCCGTGGCTGCTCGGGGCAACCAGCACCCCGCTTTTACCTTCCTACACCCCAGGATGGAGCTGGATTTAAGAGGAGCTTGTAATACAGGGAGCACAAACTTGCTGCAGCACATCCAGGGTGTGCCGGCACCCAAGAAAGCAGCCACACGGCTCTGTGAGAGAGCAGGTCCCCTGGGGGGGGGGGCTGCAGGGGAGGGGTCCTGGGGCTCCCTGGGGGCTTGTTTGGGAACGGGGACACGGGGACCTGTCCTGGGTAAAGTTGGAGCACAAAAGCTGCTGCCCCCCCCAACCCGACCATCCCCGCTCCGGAGGGTGGCTGGGGATGCAGCCCCCGATCACCCCAGGTTTGGTTTCCGGCCTGTGTCTGGCCCCCCGAGCTCCCACCAACCCCCTCCAGCAGCACGGAGCTGCTTCTCCACGCTGAGTCTTGGTTTGTCCATCTGCAACCCCAGGATACTCAGGAGTGGGAAGTTAATGTCACCAAAAGGGTGACAGGGGGGACGCTGGCAGCAAGGGGGAAGCATTCCTGCCAGCCCCTCAAGCAGCCCGGAGTTTTATTCATTAAATCAATCCTGTTAACATGGCAACCACTTCCATTTTAGTTTGCACAGCCACATTCCACCATGTGCTGCGATATCAAGATCTCAGGAAGATCAGAGAGGCCAAAAAAAAAGAAATATAGAAAGAATAGAAAGGAGCCACTTCTTCCACAAACCCACTCCCTGGCAGAGCCCGAGCCCAGCCCAGGGCAGGGTCTCAGCCCGTTGGAGCCCAGCACGACCAGAACCAGGCCAGGGTGGCTCAGGGTGGCTGCCCTCGAGGCGGGAGAGGTTGAAGGGCCACACAGGGGGTTGGGGACCAGGGACCAGAGGGGCTGGGGCATCCACAGCATCCTCGTCCCTTGGGCATCACCATCCCACTGGGGACGGAAACCACCCCCGTGCCAGAAAGGCGAGCAGGTCCAGGGGGACAGCTGGGACCTCTCCTTCACCCTGGCACCTCTCACTTCACCCCTCTTCCCTCTTTTCCTCTTTTTCTCCTCACTCTTCACCTCCTCAGCTGCTGTCTCCTCCTCCTCCAGCTCCTTGTACCTCCACTTGGGGGGCTGCAGCAGGTCCTTGTCCCCCCTCCCCGTGCTGCCTCCACCCCCTCAAGCAGGCGGGTGGGCAGGAGGTTTTCCTCACTTTGATTTTCGGGACGGGCTCTCCGGGGAAGATGCCGTTCCTGTGTCACAGCCACAGGAAGGTCAGGGGGCCACCGGCTGACCAGCACAGCAGCAGGAGCCAGATCTCCGCCACGGCTTGGCCGCTGCGGGAGGATGCACCGGTGTCGGTGCATGAGGTGGGTTCTGGCTCAACATCTGGATCCGGCATGTGCTGCCTGGGGATCTGCGGCACAGACAGCCTGCGCTTGCCCACCTCGGGGAGAGGGAGGCTGTAGGGCAGATGGTTTGGCAAGTGGTGGCCATGAAGGGGCTGGCGAGGGGAGGTGGTCATCCTCACCCTGCGGTGCCTCACACCATCCTCCTCAGGGTGGTGAGGGAAGCTGAACATGGATCAGATCGTCTCCGACAGCCTCTTACCCCTGGATTTGGGGCTCAGGGCCTTGGCCACCGGCTCGGTACTGGGTGCCAAACCTCTCCACCCATGGGTGCTGCAGGAGGCTCCGGATCCGCACGATCATCTCGGAGCAGGTGGTGAAGGCTGCCCGCTCCCTGGCCATCTTCCCTCCCTGACAGGATCCACCGCTTGCAGGTCTACTCCTGGAGACACCGGGATGCGGAGACCATCACCGCAGTGTCCCGCCCTGTCCCACCCCACACAGCGGGCTGCAAGCACAGGGCGAGCAGCAGTGCCACCCCTTCCCCCAAAATCCTGGGGAGATGCTCAGCAGCCAGAAGCAAGGAGGCCACGCAGTCCTGCTGCCCCTGCACCGCAGTCTTCATCAGGCCCCGGGGGTCTTGCTGGTTCACCTTGAGCACTGGGTAGTCATCGAGGAGGTACTTGACGTTGGTGATGTGTCCCTAACAGCCAGAGAGAAGCTGTGTTGGAGTTTCAACAGTTAATGAGTGATAACTGTTGATGCCCTTTGGAGAAAGATTATTTAGGAATGAGATTTCATGAGAACAAAGATGCAGAAACTCAGAGGGATCAGGACTGAAAGGGTTTTGGTTTTATTTTGTTTTGGGTTTGGCCGCGCACCAGCTGCTTCAGCAGAGAATGCAGGAAAGAGTCCAAAAATGCAAAAAAAATCATCAATTCCAGCAAGGACAAAGTGGGAATAAAGGGTGATCCCCACTTTGAGACCCTCCTTTCCCCTGTGTGGGTGGAGGGAGCCAGACTCTTCTGCCGTAACAAGGAAAACCATCATGATGGGAGGGTTGGTCCCTACACATGGCATTTGCCACCTCAGACCCTTTGTGCAGGTGAATCACTGCGGCTCACGGGGCTTTTCCAGAGCACACAGGGAGGCTCCAGCTCAGCTCTACAACACTGCTGTAGGAACCCCCATTTTTCCATCATCTACCCAGTTTTCAGATGGTGGTAAGATGAACCATAAGTTTCGATGGGGAAGGTCACATCCCTTGGGAACCTTGACTTTTCCGATGGCTCATTTTGTTGTTTTTTTTTTTTTTTTGGGGGGGAAGCACAGGGGCTCACATCACTTCGAGGGGTCCCACGGGGGGTCCCCGTGTCAAGGCTGAGCACGGTGCCCGCCTGCCTGGGTGGCCATCGTGAGGGCCATGCTCCTGTCCTTGTCCTGCTGGTTGGAGTTTCTGTAGGGGCACGATGTCCACGAAGCCGCCTCAGCAGGCGACTAACGGCCCGTTTTGGGGAGGGGGCAGCACTCAGCACTGGCACTGCACCATCCTCCCTACAGTCCCCTTGCTTTCCTCCCATCCCAAACCAAACAGGCTCAGGATGGGAGGACAGCTGAGGTTCTGCTCCAGGGATTGGATCAATCCCAGGAGATCCATCCCTTGCCAAAGCCATCCCACCCAGGCCTCTCCCTCCTGTCCCACCTACTTCAGCGACCACCATCCTTCAGGCTTTGCTTGTTCCTGGGAAATCCTCCACAGGGTGCTGACCCAGCCACCCACCATCTCGTAGATGACCAGCTCCATGGCCTCACTCCAGGTCACTCCGGGCTCCAGCCTCTCCCGTACCAGCTTGGCATCAGGTCCTGGTGCAGCACTGGTAGAAGCTGAGCTCCCCAGCACCACCAGCCCCCAGGGAGAGCTTATGGAGAGCTCAGGAGTCACCTGAGAAGATGCTGCTGGTGGCCGAGGGCTCCTCCTCCTCCTCCTAGTGCAGCTCCGCATCGGGGACATCCAGACTGGCAGCAGGGACTGAAGCATTTTCTCCTCCACTTCAGACATTTCTCATTCAGCCTGGCCAGGGAGAACAGCCCAGTTTGGCCCCAAGCCCTGCCTGGGGCCAAGACCCTCTCTCGGAGAGGGGGGGGGGCGGCGAGGGGGTATTCAGGGCCGTTCACTCCCCCCCTGTGCAGACACAGAGTGGACGTGGGAACTGCGTGGGCTCTGGCATCCCTCATCCTGCCAGGAAGCCCCGGCCAGCTCCCAGCCGCCGGCACAGCCCGTGGGTCCCATTTCCATCCTCTGCCCCACACAAACGCTTGTGCTGGGAGCTTGGATGCTGCGAAACCCCCGGGTAGGGAGCAGCTCCCTACGGCACTGGCTGCAGCGCAGAGTGGGGGGAAACGGGGACATCTTGGGAGTTTGAAAGGTGGATAAATGTCCCATGGTCTAGGCGCTGAGATTGGGAACATCTCCCGGGCAGTGGGGATGCTGATCAGGGCACTGAATTCAGCCGGGCTGTCGTGCCAAGTGCCAGCAGGGAGGACATGTCTCCATCCCTCCCCCTGCCCCATGGCTGGGGTCTGAGACCTCCCCATTTAACTGGTGCACACCAAAGCAGCTGCAGAGAGCTTTCCTGGCAGCAGAACCAGAGCAGTGCACAGAGAGAAGGGTTAAATCCAGCTCTTTACAATCAAGCAGCAGGAGAGCAGAGGCTGGAGCAGCTCCCAGCTCCCCAAGGAGCCCCTTAAACCCTGTGACACAGGGCAGCCCGCAGCCCCAGGGCAGGGATGGACCGGCTGCAGCCTGGCAGCAGAAATTAAACTGTTTGGCTTCTAAGTAGAAGCCAACCATTAACTGATGGGTGCTGTGAAAGGAAGAAAGACTTTGCAATTCCATTAAACTCTCCCACCCCTCTTAGACTTCCCAAAGCATGCTCTGGGGATGAGGGATGCTCTTCTCACCGTACCCTGATCTTACCTGGGGCTGCTCTGACCTTCCCCGTGGGTCCCTCTTCAGCTGGGCAGCATCACAGCTCCAACCAGAAGGAAAAACTTTGCAACAGATGGTGGAAAAATCAGCCCTACGCTTTGTAGTGAGAAAGAGGTTTCTGCTCTGGGTCCAAGGTGGCCTTTGGGCACCAAAACAGTGACAACCTGCGTGCTGCTGTGGGCTTAGCTAGCCAAGAGATTTTAATGTAAACTGTTGCTTAAAATGGCTCCATCCATGCTGAGCAGGATCAGAGCTGCTTGGGAAGGATTTCACATTTTTATCTGGGGAGCTGCTGAGTCCCAGGCTGTGTTTTTATACCTGTCTCACCTCAGTAAGATGCTGCTGCCTGAGCAGCCCCCATCAGCTCAGCTGAACCCCCCAAACCTCCCTTCCAGCTCCCTTTGTCCGCAGGTGAATTTACTGATCAGATAAACCTGGGGAGGTGCTGCTGTGGCCAAAGGTGCAGATGCCTGTGGCTGTGCAGGTGCATTAAATAAACCGTGTAACTGCCCTTGGGAGGTGCTTTGGATCCTCTAGCCCACCTCCCCCGCTCCCCGACCCGCTGGGCATCCCATGCCAAAGCCCTCAGAGCCCCAGCAAGCTTGGGGCAGCTTTAGTCGAGGAGCTGCAAAAACTGGTTTCCTGAATTCCACACAAAACCTGATTGCTCCCTTATCTTCGTCTTTAGGGGTGTTTTTTTTTTGGTTTTGTTTTGTTTGTTTGTTTGGCTTTTTTTTTTTTTTTTTTTTTTTTTTTTTTGTGGTTGGTTGGTTTTCACATGTTTTTGGAGGTACAGGGGCCAGCTGGCCTGTGGGATCTGGGAAAGGGCACTTCTAGTCCCTGGATCAGCTATTTTCATGGCAAAAAGACATGAGTTCGGTCCCAAAGCGGATCGTGGGAGGCCGTGTTCTCCATTTAAAGGCAGAGTCCCAAAGGTCACTTTGCTTGTACCCTTCAACATGAAAATATGGAGCAGATGAAGGATCCCAGCTGTTTCCTCTGTGCTGGGCGCATCCTGCCGGGAAGCGTGAGCTGAGGGTCCCGATGCCGAACGTCCCGACCCTGATGCCGAACGCTGCGGAGCTGGAGCTGGGCTCTGCGCCTGCAGCACCCTCCCAAACCCCGGTGTCACCCCAGTCATGTCCATCCCTGCCAGGGGCCAGCTCTGAGCCCTTCGGCACCGTACGTAGCCGGGCTGCCCTGCCAGGGAACTTCCACAGTCCCGGAGCCTCTATTGCAGCACCGAGGACCAACCCTCGCCCCTCGCCTCGGGGCTGAGCCCTCTGCTCCCGCCGCACCAGCGGGATGGCGTGGCCAGCACGGTGTCACCCATGTGTCACCTCCTGCCCCGTAGCCACCCCTCCCGCGCTGCCTTATCTCAGGAGGGGACCGGGAACAGATTTAGGGCTTTAGGAGTTATCCGGGGAGCTCCGTGCCATAAATCTGCCGCCTGCCACGAGCCGGAGGCTCTGAGCTGGTTGCGTAAGGATGAGTTTTGGGGTGTCATGGGCCCAGCCCGCCCATCCTCGCCCGTTTGCCGGTGCTTCGGCGGGGATGGGGTTTCCCCCTGCCCCAGCACGGTGAGGTCCCGTTGGGGCGGCCGGGCCCAGGGGGGACGTTTCTAGCAGAGGTTTTTGGTGCTGGTGGGGCTTTGCAAAGCCTCCGGTTGCCACAAGGGGATGCCGGAGGCCGCGGGAGGAGGCTGCGCTGGCCCGGCCGGGCAGCTCCGGGCCGGGGCGCGGGGCTGTGCGCTGCCCCAGTACCCCCAGTCCTCCCACCGGGCTGGAGAGGCTCGTGGGGCTGCTCAGAAAGCAGTGGGCAGGCTGGGGTTAGGTCTTATATATATATATATATATATATATTTATTATTATTATTCTTGTCTTTTATTTTTTTTTCAGAAGTTTGTACATAGATGTCATAGCATCCTCCCAGATGTCATAGCATCCTCCCAGGCATCATAGTATCCTCCCAGATCTCACAGCATCCTCCCAGATGTGACGGTATCCTCCCAGGCATCACAGCATCCTCCCAGATCGCACAGCATCCTCCCAGATGTGATGGCATCCTCCCAGGCTTCATCGTACATACCTGAGCCTCACTGCCTGGGACACTGTTCCTTAAGGATCTTCTGGACAGAGGGAGGGAGGGAAGCACAGCTCTGGGATAAAAAACCCACCTGACACGTGGAAATGGTTGCGGGGGGAAGGACAGCCCTGCCCAGACCACCAGAGCCGGCTGCTTCGCTGCAGGGATGCGCTGCTGAGAGCAGCTCCTCTGGCAGCAGAACATGGCCCGCTCTCCTGGTGAACCCCCCCCCCCGGCCTAAATCATGCTCAGGAGCACCCACGCAGGTTGGGGGGGGGGCCGGGAAGGGGCTGGAGGAGAGCCCTGATCTTTCACCTCTTGTCCAGGATCCAACTGGGAGCGCCGAGCCCGGTGGTCTGGCCCAGGTCACTCATCCCTCACCGCCTGGTCATCTCCATCACAAAACCAGGGTGCAATAACTCAGCATGGAAGGGAAGTGGAGGGCGTTGATTTAAACCCGGGGCTGGGCTCTCCTACCCCTGGCCCTCCTCGCCGCGGTCAGGGCCGGGTCACGGCCGAGTGCAGCTCCTGCCCCGTGCGCAGGAGAGGGCGGCGGGGACGCGGTGAACACGTTTTGCTGCACGGCCGCATCCAGCCCCGCAGCCCCCGCGCTGGGGTGATGCCCGGGGAGGGAGCGGAGGGCGAGGAGGTGTCTGATGTGTCACAGCCCTGCTCCCAACCCGGCCGTAAATCAGCGGCGGGTGTCACCGGAGGAGATGACAAAGCCAACCCTTCGCAGAGGGCCGGCAGCCGGTGCAAACCCGGGGTCAAGCCGTGATTTACGCCGCCGCGGCTGCGCGAGGGCGGGCCGTGCCGGCAGACGGCTGTTCCCGCCCAGGCAGCCAAACCCGGTGCGAGCAGGAGTTTGCTGGGGCTTGGCGGGGGCAGCAGCAGCGTTCGCACCTCAAGTGTGATCCGAGGGTTTCTATAAAAAAGAAAAAAAAAAAAAAAAAAAAAAAAAAATCCCACCCTCCGCATTTTTCCCATCGGTTGGGTGGCTGGAGACCAACCCATCTGCCTTCACCGCGGCCCTTTTCCTTACCCAAATCCCTGCGGTAGGGGGATTGTCTCCCACGGCGGGTCCTGCTGTGCCGAGGAATGTCACCCCCTGCCACCAGCGAGGACAAAGCAGCCGTCACACTCTGCTGACCACCTTGGGGAGCTGCTGCCCGCAGGGCTCGGGGCAGCAGGGACAATAACCCCTTGTCTTGTGCCTACCTGGTACCGTGCCAGGACATCCCCGGAGATGACACACGTTGAGCAGGGACACAGCGTGCCTGCCCGCCCCAGCACGTGCTCAAAACCAGGGGGTTTCACTGGGATTTACCCCAAATGCCAGTTAAGACCATAAACTGCCTTATCCGAGGCCGGGGCAGGCGCTCTGGCAGGGATGTTATCTCCTGCCTCCCGCTCCCAAGTGAGCACTAAGCGCTATGGCACGCAGGCTAACTGGGGCTGGAAGGAAAAGTTATCTTTGGTAGGAAGAAAATGCAAAGTAAAATGGAAATGTGGTTGTTGTTCCCTTATTTAACACAGAGTTTCACAAACCCAGTGCAGGCAGAGGGGGATCCAGCCCTGTCACAGCCTGGCTTCACTGCCTGAAAAAGCAATTAAGGACTTGGGTGTGTTGGTTAGAAGCGATTTATTTCTCATTTCTCCTCTTGTAACAGCAACATCAGCTCAAAGGGTTTTTCGGAGGCTTTTGCATTACGGTTCTGCCATTTGCCTTTATTTTTTTTTTTTGGAGGCCAGCACGACTAACAGCCCCGAGCCCAAAACAACCCAACTGCTGGGTTGAGGGTGTCCATGGGGAGCAGCGTGCAGGATCGGGCCCTGGGGACCCCGTTATCAAACCAGCGCCGCGTGCGGCCGGGCACGGCTCCTCGGTGCTGCCGGTCACCCGTCGGCAAAGCCCGAGCGAGTCTCCCTGTGCCGGGGCTGGCGAGATGCTTCGGCAACTGCCGCAGCTCTGACCGCTCCCATTCGTGCCCCGCCACCACCCTTTTCAATTTAGGACCTTGGGGTTAAAAAAAAAAAAAAAAAAAAATGCCAAGAGAGAGGCTTTTCTGATTAAATTACAGCTGGCCAGCACCCGAGCTGGAGATCAATTTCAATTTCTCCCTTTTTTTTTTTTGGAAGGGGGGAAGCGCCGGGGACGGCAGAGAAGAGGGGGGGTAGAAAATCAGACTTGCTAATTCCCTGGCTGTAATTATACCTAAAGAGAAATGGTGCCGCATGAGGTCCCTGGTGTGTGGGGAGTAATTTAGGGCTGCTTTGCGAGGCCTCTATGAAATTTGGAAGGAGAGGGGCTCCCCCCCCCCCTCCGGTAATTGTATTTCTGGTGCCGCAGATGGTGCTGGCCCCGGATACTTGCTATAAAGAAGATGGATCGCAGCACGCGGAGGAAGGCGAGGTGACGGCATCGCTCTCTCGCCTTCATGATGAGCATTATCCATCAGGCCCTTTACAAGGCAGCGGGAGCTGGGACAATAAGGAATTGCCTGGCAGGTAAAGGCCACCACATCCAGTGTCCTGGTCCCCAGCCTCCTCTTGGGTTTATTTCCAGCCCATCTTCTTGTCGCTGTATCCCTCAGCCTTCCCAAATCTCCATAAAAACGGCTCTTAACCAGGAGCCCTGGTCCAGGTAAAGGCGATGTAGCACCGTGGTGGTCACACGTGTCTCTGTGCAGGAGTGGAGATGCCCAATATACGCCTGATATTCAGGATATCTCTTGAAACCATGATCCGGAAGACCCGTTAGGTCACGGGTGTCTGGAAAGGGGCTGAGGAAGAGCCTGGAACTGCGAAGAAAAGCCTAGAAACAAGCCCGAGCGCAGCAGTGAAGGTCTGGTGGTGACCATGAATGAAATAATTGATTTTTTTTCAGTGCTTGTGGCAGGGAAAATGGCTGTGTCATTTGAAGATATTTCCCAATTTTTATGAAACGCTTCTTGAGAAGCTGCCTGGCATCGTGAGTGTGCGCAGCCACGCTTGCACACCCATCATCTTCCTCACCTCACGTCCACACCCACCTCGCGAGGGGTTTTCCAGCGACCCTGCACGATCCTCCGCTGGGGGAAAAGCAGCTCATGCAGCTGAGAAAAAAAACCTGTGAAATTCCCCCAACTCCAAGGTGCTTAATCCAGCCATGCCGCGATCTCCTGCTTTTGGAGCCTGGGGAGAAACAGGGGCTGGAGGAAACCTAATAACTGCCCCGGGGCGGCCGAGCGCGGCGAGCTAAAAGAGAAGCCGGGTCCCTGGCTATGTAAATAAATGTCAAGTTATCTGATCATGCAAGGCAATAAATAGAAAGAGGAGAACGCGGCGATGGGAGCCGCATCCTGCGTGGATGGGAAGGGTGGGATGGCCCGAGCGCGGGGAAGGGACGCGCAGGAGGGCCCGGGGATGGAGCCGGGTTTGGTGATTTACCCGCCGTGACAAGGCCGGCTGAAAATGATGGATAGGAGGTGGGAAATGCCGCTCCCCAGCTGGGCTCCGCTGGTGTTAGCGGAGGGGAGAGGACGTCCCCAGCTATTTATCATCTTTCCCCAGGCCCCTGTAGCACCGTGAACACCCAGTGTCCAGCACACACCGGGTGAATTAACCCCTTCCGAGGGGGTCAGGCTTTGCCGCCCGTATCCTGGCTACCGCAGGAGGATGCGGTTTTGCTCTCGTCCTCTGTTTCTGCCCCAAAGCACCCGTGGATGGGAGCGATGCTGCCACTCCGGAGGAAGCAGGCAGGGGCTGGGCGGGCTGGTTTCCAAACGGAAAATGGAATATTTCCCTTTTTCCAGGTTTTTTTGAGCTTGGGGTGGTGTGGGGAGAGCGTCTGCTGGCAGGGAGGGCCGTGCAGCGCCAGGCGGGCTGAGGTCGGCAGCTCATCACAGCAGTGATGATGATGAGCCCCAGCATCACCCGTGCGGGGAGGGAGTGGGGGGCAGAAGAAAACTGTGAACGGCAGCTGGAGCCACAGGGAACCCCCCTGGACCCCAGGAGCTGCCGCTCCCTCCCGCAGCTCCTCGGCCAGCGCTGCCTTATTAGATTTGGCAAAATATTAGGGGAGTGTTTGGAAGGTTAATTAACACAAGGCCCTGCAGCATGGGAACCCAGCGTCGCCGGGGGTGTTAGCCTGCGGCCAGCCGAGTTCAGGCTGTTGAGCTGAAAGAAAACCTGCCCCAGCACGATGCGCCCAGGACCACCCGGTCTCCTCTGGGCAGGATTAGACCAGGCACCATCCAGTCCTGTGCAGAGTCAGAGCGTGCAGCCCCCAGAGCATCCCCGCTGCAATGCTTCCCCTCCAGCCCGACCCTATAGGTCCCAGGCATATAGGGGACCTGCTTTATCAGTGGGGAAACTGAGGAATGGAGCTGTGAGGGGAACATCGTGCGGGAGAGCTGGGCTGGGGTTCTGCCCGTACTTGGCAAATCCTGCTGCTCACCAGCAAGAAGCCAGCTCGTCGCCCTGCCTGAGTGCTCCTTCTCAACTCACATGAGCCCCAAGGATCAAATAAACCCAGAAGCAGCCCCTTAGGGTGCACTTTGGGCAGGGCAAAGGTTTTTCCTTCAACATAAACTGCATTTAGGGGAAAATCCTGTGCCCGGCAGCTTGGCGGTTGCCTGTTCTCCCGCAGCATCACCGTGCAGGAGCAGCCGTGGTGGGACGGGGGAAGCGAGGGGCAAACAAAGCTGAGCTGGAGCCGAGGTGCCATTTGGGGCTCCGATACCAAACACTGTGGACATTTTCCCCCCCTGCTTCCCCTGCAAGCCCCGTGTGTGTGTCGGGGTGCAGCCGCACAGCCAGTAACCCGACGCTCCCATTCCTGTCATGTTTTACATGGCCGGGCATGTGGTTATATTTTGTTTTGCCAACCTTTGCTTTCCCCAAAGGAGGGAATGAAAGGGCCAGTGTGCCGCCAATTTATTGTGCCTCCCGAGAGCCCCATGGCTGCCGAAAAAGCAGATGCCTTCTGCTTAATCTGGCCTGTTGCTATGTAAACCTCCTTCCCGCTTTGATGTCCCCTATAAATACTCCATGTGTTTCCAATAAACTGGCATTTTTATCACTGGAGCTGTTAAAGGCAGATCTGTGTCAGATTTGTCCCTGGGCTCGGCCGGGGGTTCGCTGGGGATAACCTCCCTGCCCTCGTAAAGGGGCTCATTGTATCTGGGACCGGGGGTCCGGGGCTGGGAGGGGGACGCGGCTGCCGCAGCGATGGCACCTCTCCCAGCTCCGGCACGATGCTCCCAGGGGAAGGGGACGCTGCCTGGGTGCTGATCCCGCATCTGCCGGGGCTGAGCCCTGGGCTGGGACCACCACGGTGCTGGGGACCCTCCGGGCTTTGCCTGCCTGCCCGGGGCTCCCCTCGCAGCCTGGTCTCTCCAGAAGTGCCTCTTGCCCATGTTTAAGTGCCTCTCGCGGGCAAGCAGGAAGCCCAGGCTCCTTGGGGGTGATCTCGAGCATCATTTTTTTTTTTTTTTTTTTTTTTATCTTCTTTCCAGCCCCTAAGTTTGCAGCTTAAATGATGCAACAGCCAAAGGGTGTGCAGGGAACGCAACCCGGTGTCCTTCCAGAAGCAGCCAGAAGCAAAGACCTTCTTTTTGTTAATGTTATTTTGCTGAGATGTTAGGATGAGACCCACCTCACCTGCTCATAAACACCTTCTTAATCTCCCTGTCGTTCGCCCCTGCCCTTTCACTGATATAAATCTCTCTGATTATCACTGTCACCCAAGGACAGAGCACGACCCCCCCCCCCCGGCTCAGGGCACCTCCTCCATCATGTTTGCGGGTCCGTCCCTGTGCCCTGCAGCGGGTGCTGCTGCTGGTGGTGCTGCTGGTGAGTTTGGGGTGCTCAGCCCTGATGGGGGGTCCCTGGGGGTGCTGGGTTGCAGCTGGAGCATCAGCCCTGCTCCTCTCTGCAGGAGGAGATGGCCTGGGGTGTCTGCAGAGGGGTGAGGGTAAGTCCCCACGTCCTGGGATGTCTGGGGACAAGGTCTGAGCGTGCTCTGGTGCATTAGCAGTCTGTGACAGGGATGCTCGTGTGACAGAGGTGAGCTGGACGTGTGCGGTATTTCAGAGGGGTGTTGGGTCCGGGTCAGGTTATTGTGGGCCTGGGTCTTCCCAAAAGCTCTGCGGGTCGGG